CACATAAAGGTGTGTCATTTCACTTGACTTGTCAGCAGAAAACAGGACAACTCCAAGAGCATGGCCCAACCTAGGATAGGTAATGACTCATGAAACCTGCATCCCTGGCACTCACTGTACAACTTACAGGCAGCTTAGCCCATCATAGTCTCTCTTTAGGATAGGTTCCTTATGAAACTGTTTCAGGAGTTACATGAGCATTTTAAGTTTTTGTTCACTTGAATCTTATATGCCATCTTCCTCGAAGAGAAATGTTTTAATTCCAACTAGATACACAGCACTCTACCCCTCACTGGCTATTACATTCTCTCTATTCTCTATCCTGTGATGTTCCCTGACCTGTGGTACAGGTGGTATAGGTGTTTATTTTCCTCCATCATATGGCCAAGTTTTTATGCCATAGCAACAATCATTTGTTCTCAGCAATTTGGTGATGAGTCTCTGCAGTGTACCACACAGCTTCTTGTACATGTGGCTTTCATTCTAGCTAAGCATGTTCACTCACACCTTTAAATCCCAGCATTCTGAGAGCTGAGACAGAAACATGAGGTCAGTGTGGGCTACACAGAAAGTTCCAGGTCAACCTGCCCTACACAATAAGGCAAACAAAACAAAACAAAACAAAACAAAAACAACAAATTACTTCTTGAGAATAAGCAATATAAGCCAGATATAGTGGTATACACCTTTGATTCCGGCACTCAGGAGGCAGAGGCAGGCGGATCTCTGTGAGATCAAGGCCAGTCTGGTCTACATAGTGTGTTTCAGGCCAGCTGTGGCTACAGGGAGACTTTGCCTCAAAAAAAAAAAAAAAAAAAAAAAAAAAAGCAACAATATAGACATGGTCACACACACATATAGTTTTGTCTATGGATCTGCATTCCATATTGAAGAGCATTATTAAATGAAGGCAGGCTCTAATAAAATCCAAGGTGCTTACTTACGAAAACAAAATCTAAGCCATGTTTTGTTTTTGTTTCCTTGTTTTATATGAAAAAACAGGATCAGAATATGAGTGTTTAATGCCAAAGAATATTAGCGAAAAGAAAAATTTTGTTAAAAATTTATTATATGCAATAAATACCCTGTTTGTGGTGACTGATCCTAATTTCATGTATTAAATTTAAAAATTATAAGTACAGAATAAAAAGATGTGTTCTGACAGTTGGAAAGCAATAAAAATATTTATTTACTGTAAGGTTATCCCTTGTAGTTCCTTATTGAAGGTGACTGTCAAGAATTTGAAGATTTAAAACACTGTAGTTATGATACTTAAAAGTACTGGATACAAACCCGATATGAAACTGTGTCTGAGAAATGAAGGTCAAATCATGCATTTAATAAAATAATGTGTCCAAATATGCCAGTTTAGTATCAACTTTTTGTGTATGTGCTTTATTGTGAAGTAGTTTGGAAGTGATAACTATTCAGGGAAAACAGATCATCAGAATACATTTGAAGGAAATAAGACATCCCTATCATGTAGAAGGACAAATGAAAGTAAGCTGATACCAAGTTTTCTATTGCTACAAATTTAAAATATGAGAGCATAAAGGGCAAATTTGTGAATGAACACTATGATCTTTTTAGCAGGCTCTTTGTGAACATAGAGCCTCATCTACACTGACTTGTGTCATTTAAGTGAAGTCAAATGTGAATAGCAGTGGCTTCAGTAGGTGATAGGTGTACAGCCTCGGGCCTCTGGTGAATGAGGGTTAGAACAGTACTGCTTGTCTGCATGGCTCTGCCATTTTCTGATTGTTTTTCAGTATGCGTTAGAGGTTTCCAAGTGTTTTATTTCTTCATTATTGAGGTTCAGGCTTTTAATGATGCTTCAAATAAGAATCACTGATGTTGGGGCTAGACAGATGACTCAGCAGTTAAGAGCACTGGCTGCTCTTGCAGAAGACCTGAGTTCACTTCCTAGCACCCACATGGTGGCTAACAACTGTCCGTAACTCCAGTTCCAAGGGATCTGACACTGTCTTCTGACCTCCTCAGGCATTGCATGACACAGGTGCACTTACACACATGCAGGCAATACACTCGTACACAAAAAATAACTGATGTCACAATTTTATACCTTTCTTCATAGACAGGGTCATTCACTCTGACATTATTTGTTTTACCTTCATTTAAAAGGGGAGATACTATGTTGGGTATTAAATTTTAGATAGTTATTGCCTTTAACCATTTAAAAAGAAAAAAAAAAAAAAAACCCTTTAACTCACTGAGTCCAATTAGTGCTGCCCTAATGTGCATGGGATTGGGGTCATCCATCTGGGACATAGACTGCCTTTCAGCGCCTGTACCCCTAAAGAAAAGTGACTCTGCTTCCCCCAGCAGCCATCAACTTTCAGTAACTCCTCATTAGGGACAGGGTCAAAGAGCTGGAATTTTTAACTAGCTTGATCTTAGGTAGGTCTGTGTCTGTGACCACTGTTGGCTGTGATTTATGTGTGCAACAGCCATATCATGTCCAGAGGACAGCATTTTACAGCAATCCCCTACATCCTTTGGCTCTTATATTCATTCCTTCCACCCTTCTTCATGACTTCCTGAGCCTTGATGGGGGAAGGGTGTGTACGTGTTGATTCAGATGGCCAGGCACTCAGTCACTTACTCTCAGCACTTCGAAAGTAATGTGTCTCTACATTAACCACTACCCACTACCAAAAGCTTCCACTACCAAATTCTTTAACCATTTTGAACAGTTTTCTGCCTTCCATCACTTTCATTACCACCCCATTTTTTCCTCTTTTAGATGGTAATATATGTTTTTACTACTTTAAGGGCTAATGAGTTTTACCTTTCTGAGTGTTTTGAGGTTTTTTTCTTAAATAGTAAAACCAAAATGTGCCTATTATAAATCACAGGGGGTGGGGATCCAGCTCTAATGAGTAGTTTTTCGACCACAGACTTGTCTTCTGTCAGTTTTAGAAAATCTGTTAGCATGCTTTACATGGTGCTTCTGCAACATTTTCTCTTGTCTTCTAGGATTCACATTAAACACATTGTACCATGTCCCAGGTATCTTAATACATAGACTTCTATGTTTCATTCTTTTTTCACATCTTTGTTTCAAACTAGCTGGTTCAGTTCACTGTTCTCTGGTTAAGTGCACTAACTGAAGTATTAATTTTACTTATCACATTTTCAATTTAGAATTTCCATTTTTACAGCTCTAGTTTTCCAGCAATACTGCCATTTTCTTAAACATTTATACTTACTTGAAAGTTGTGTCTTTGCTCATATTTCCCTGTTTGCCTAGGTATATGTCCTCTGTTGTCCTCTTTTCTCTTGACTTTTCATTTGGTCCCAATCCTTATAATGTCTGCTTAGGTTTGAATGAGTGAATGAAGAAAATTGTGTGTGAAAAGCTATGAATAATGTTAGTGCTTCCAGAAAGGACTGTTCTTCTTAAATCTGTTAAGGAATGATGTGAATGTGGGAAAAGCTGTCATCACTTTGGTTTGCCCTTACTGTGAAGTTACAGTCCTTCATGAGTCTCACCTGACATCCTTCTCTTTGAAGGGCTTGAGAAATCCCTTTTCCTCTTCTGGCACTGTGAAAGTTCTGGATTTTTTTTTTTTTTTTTTTTTTTTTTTTTTTTTTGGCTAGCTTTACACTTGTTGCTTTCTGCTTGGCATATCATCTTCTCAGCTTTGGCCCTTCCTATACAGCTTAGGGTTGGAAAAACAGGAAAGGTAGGGAGGATGTCAGACTCACCTCAGTATGATCTTGCCCTACCCCACCCAGTTTCCCGATGTTGGTTGTTCTGTAGTCCCTTCAAACATCCATTTGTTTGTTATTCCTGAATCTTTTTCAGGCTAGGGGGTTTATTCTTAGGCTACTTTCAGAAAAAAAATTATTATTTTCCATTATTTTAGGATCTTCCTGAGTGTGAAAAGGTTTTTATTTTTAACAAGTGCTGTTGATAAAACTGTCTAAAGTAACAATTATTTATTGAGTTCTGAAAGGTTGTAGGTCCTTGCTACACATTTTATAAGCAATTTCAAGTCTAACTGGAAAGTCAGCACATAAATTATTTAATAATTTATAGAAGTATGTACTAAAAGGTAGAAAGGAACAAGAATTGTATACCACTCGCTATGTTATTTAAACTTCAGTACAAGCAATATAGTGGAGATCATGTTTTCATTTATGGATGAGAAGAAATCAGACTGAAATTTGAAAATATAGAAAATTATAAGAAAATTAAACTCACTGTCTACCTGTTTAGAGCTAAGCACTAACATTTGTGGTGTACAGCACCAATTTTATTTTCAGTGTATATAAAGTTCTACATAAGGTATATGTAATTCTGGCAGTTCTGCTTCATTTTCTTTATAACCTTTTTCTGAAAAATGTCTTTAATTTATACAGTTCTTTAAACCTTGAAAGACCAATACATTTTGTAAAAATTTATGTACATGATATATTCTTTTAAAGTATTTGGCATACCTTGAAGTATATTTCTCTAAACTAAAAGCTACAGCAATCTTACACAAATTATATTTTGTTGGTTTTTTAAAAATTTTATGTAAATATTTTGTTAAGTTTTTTTAATATTTTTTTGTTTGTGTTTCAAAGGCCAAACTGTTTTCAGATAGTAGTTCAGCACTTTAGTGAAGAACATTACATCTTTTACTTTGCAGGAGAAACTCCAGAACAAGCAGAGGTAAGCACTATTTCCCAAACTACTAAAACCTTTGTGTTAGCCTATCTTTTAAAAATATTTTATCAGTACTTAGAAAACTCTACAGTATATTTAAATATTCAAAAGAATGAAAAAAAAAAAAAAAGAAAATTGGTATTTCCCTGTAAGATAACCACCTTAGCGGAATCATTTAAGGACTTATTTTGCATTAAAAATGTTAACACATCTTGAGATAGGATTCAGAGGACTTACATTAAATGTACTATATATGATCTCATTAATATGTCTTTAAAATTATCCTATTTGGTTCTCCTTTCTAAATGTTAAGTATATCCACAGGTACATTTGTAGAAAATACTGCCATTTAAGGTATAGTGATTAAAGTTAATATGAAACGTTATGTATTTTAAGGAGAACTTTTAGATCAAATGTTTATTTTTATTTTTAAGAAACAGCAGAAACAAACACAGTAAAAGGTTAATAGGGATGAAAAATCCCACCTAAAATCAACCCTGAGAATTCATTTAAAGTAATTTCTCCATACGCAGTAGGTGTTCTCAGTATAATCCAAAGGTAAGCCAGGTAGCTTTAATATTTCTGGGGTGTTTAGTTATATTTTGTACAATTTTGGCTGTGCTTCTCATTATACTCTAAGGAAGAAACATAAAAGAAATTCAGTGAAAGAAAATGGCTTTGTTGGCAATGGAACATCATTTGTTCTAGGGGCAGATAATTTTATAACTGGATCCTAGAGTCAAAGAATTAACTTAAGAGAATGAAATATAGTTCTTTGGCTTATAATTTATTTTGAATCTTTGTAACATTTTTCAGTTATGTACTTGTTTCATTTACAGTACACACTTCTAAGTATGTACCTCTATAATTTTTAGGTAAGAAAAGGCTCAAAACACTTCTGTAGCTTACCTTTTAGAATGGTAGAATTCAAGTTAGAATTATAAGTTTAAATTTCAGTGTCTTGTTTTGTAGTTATTTTACTATCTATGCTTATTCTGAATAAAGACTTTAAGATTATATACCTTGATGCTTCAGCTTTTTTCAGTGGTCACTTAAAAACAATTTCTTGTATGTATACATACTTTCCATGTTTATTTCAATAGAGTACTTAAAAATCAAACTCATCTTAATGTGAATTTCCAGTTCTTGTTGATTTTGATGTTGGTTACTTTTTTGTACATCTAAAATGTATTGGAACTTAATTGGATTTACTATAGTATAAAAATATTTTTAAAGACTAGTTTTTCAGACTCATTGAAACAAACAAGGTCTGACAAGATGGCTCAGTGGGTAAAAGAGCTTGCTGTGAAAATCTGATGACTTGAGGTTGATGCTCAGAAAACATCTACATGCACAGCATGGCACATGTACACCCACATTCATTCCCTCCCTATCTCTCTCTCTCACCTAAAAATTGTTTAGTAACAATAAGGATATAGCCAGTAAATCAGACACATGATTAAATAAAGCAAAAGTATAGAGCTTTCTATTTAAACACATAAGCTAAAGTGAGTATTTAGCTTGCCTTAAAAAACAAACAGCCGCCGGGTGTGGTAGCTCATGCCTTTAATCCCAGCACTCAAGAGGCAAGAGGCAGGTGGATCTCTGTGAGTTCAAGGCCAGCCTGGTCTGCTTAGTGAGTTCCAGGACAGCTGGGGCTACAGGGAGACCCTGTCTCAAAAAGACAAAAAACAAAAACACACACACACACACAAATAGGATATCCCTGCTGGAACTTGGCTGTGTAGACTAGGCTGACCTTGGTATCAAAAATCACCAGCCTCTGCCTCTGAAGTGCTGGGATTAAAGGCACATGCCACCAAACACAGCTAGTCTTTAAATCAAAAATATATTTTTATAAAAAGCTAAAGACTAGCTTTTTATTTATGAAAATAAAAATTTATTTTTTAAAATGCTATTTTCATATTATGTATATGAATATTTTCCGTGTATGTAAGTGCACCCATGTTGTACAGTGCCCACAGAGGCCAGAAGTGGGTGTCAGATCCCCTGGTACTGGAGTTACAGATAGTTGTTAGCTGCCAGCTATCATGTGGGTGCTGAGAAAGGAACCCCTGACCTCCTCCTGCTCTTAACTGCTGAGTCATCTTTTCAGCCCCTAGTATTTAGCATCTTAATAAATCTAAGTTGTTCTCAGACCAGATGTTTATTTTAAAATATACATATAAGTTGTAGCTTAATTTGAATGATTTAAAAAATGTTATGAAAGTCTTAACCCAGATTCTTTTATTTCCACTTCACAGCATGAGATAAAGATTAAATGCTTATATCAGCCATCACATTACTAATTGTTTGTATTAGTGCTGCCCTTTTCTTACAAAATGTGCTTCTGCCATATTTTGTTTTAGGTGTTAGAGCTTAACTACATGCAAATGTTTTTTAATCCAAGGTAGTATTTGGGAGGATCAATGTAAATTTTATGTTTTTGGTTAGCTAATAACCACTTCTTGTCCTATTTAACATTAACTTACAGATTTTATATCAATTCAAGGGTTTTTTTGTTTGTTTGTTTTTTGGCTACCACGCCCAACTCTCAAGCATTTTTTGTTAAATAGACCTGTTCTGTTACATAGTTCACTTTTCTAGGCAGAAAGAAGCAGTAGTGCTCCTGAGACTAGGAATGGAAAAAATAAATTGATAATTGGATAAATTTATGATTGTGTCCTTGCAATGCTATTGTTTTTTTGTAGGATTGGATGAAAGGTCTGCAAGCATTTTGTAGTTTACGGAAAAGTAGCCCAGGGACATCCAATAAACGCCTTCGACAGGTGAAACTTAACTAACTATATCTGATTTGTTCTTTATAATTTTCATTTCTCTAAGAATACTTTTGCCAACATTTCTGAAGAGAGGGAATCTTTCCAGACATTTTTAAGCCTTGCTGTTTCTTACTTGCTTTGGTAGCAAAAGTTACTTTTTTATGAAAGAGTTTTTTATGTACATACTCTGGTTTTTAGTCTGCTGTGTTAACTTTTGAATAAATCCTGAAGTATTATTTATTCCATTTAAAATAATTATACAAAACAACTCTTATCTTGAGCACCTTTTACCTCAAAATAGAACTGAAGATACTTCTGAAATGATAATTAGACCTACAGTAGTAAGATTTGTACACTTTTGGTTTTTTCATTGTATAGCAGATTTTGAGGCAACCTACATCATTCTTAGGTAATATCCAGTCTTACTAGAACTTAAACTTGGTCTGTACTTTTGTTTATAGGAAGTTAAGCTAGGCTTTTATCTAGATAGTAAGGATAACCTTTTATCTTTTATTTGCTTTTTGTTGTTATTACTGTTATTTTTTGCCTAGGCTGGGCTCAAACCTACAGTAATTCTCCTGCCTCAGTCTCCCAAGTGCTTGGATTACAGATGTGAGCCACCATAACTGATTTACCCTAAATTTTTGGCTTTTTTGTTGTTATTGTTTCATTAAAATAATTTCTAGATAATTGGAAGCAACCAAAATTTGACATTGTTGGAATTTGAAGGAAATTCAAGACAGTATGTATTTATGGAGCAAAATGACTCCTATTCAATGGGTATTTCCAACAGACTTGTTGAATTTACCATAACTCTTTTACCAGAAATAACTTTTAATTTTATGCATAACTGCCATGTACCTTTATTTATAATTAACATTTTGGAAACGACGAAAAATCATTGAATTCACCCAAATATGAACAAGTTACAGGCCAGGAAGGTGGCTCAGTGGGTGAAAAGTGCTTGCCAAGTGGTTGCCAGCTGACAACCTTAATTTAATCCCATGAGCCCACAGTGGAAGGAGAGAACAGACCTCCAAGTTTTCTTGATCACCCCCCTCATGAAATAACAGTTTTTTAAAAAGCAATTGTATCTTAAGTGAAACTTTGTCCATTATCATTTGTAGATAAATCATAGCTAATAACTTCTTGAACCCTTTTGATTAGTCAGTTTCTCTGCTATGTGCTTAAGTATTGTTTCTAATCCTTAACACAATGTGAAGTCTTTCATATTTATTGTGAGTATTTTATATATATGAAAGAGGTGAGGCTCAGAGACTGACTTGTCCAAAGTGACACAAATTATAGGTGGTAGAAAGAGGATTTAATAGTAGGAATAGATTGCTTCAGTTTTGGCACCCAAACTGACAAAGAAGTTTCTTTGGAAGTGTCCTTTTCTGTAACATCAGAAGGTAGAATTAGTGTCTTTAAAGTATCTTACTTGTGGAATTCCTTTAGAAAAATAAAATCTTTATGGTAAGCCTACTAATATAAGCATGCTATATAATATTTAGATTTTGATTTGGGTAGTGAGAGTTTCGATTATTTTTTGAAATATTAAGAAAAATCAGTCATGATACATGGTTTTAGAGCTTCATGTATACTTCTTTATATCTATCTGGGGTAGTAATTTTTCTGTTTCCTTTAGGTCAGCAGCCTTGTTTTACATATTGAAGAAGCCCACAAACTCCCAGTAAAACATTTTACTAATCCATATTGTAACATCTACCTGAATAGTGTCCAAGTAGCAAAAACTCATGCAAGGGAGGGACAAAACCCAGTATGGTCAGAAGAGTTTGTCTTTGAGTAAGTCTTATTTTATCATTGTATTAAATCAATCTGTTGTAATCATAATTACATTTTTCTTCTAGTGTCTATATCTAAATGAATCTGTTCAGGTTTCTGTTGTTCAGGGTTTTTCAACAGTATTTTTCTGTTAGATCTGTTCACTTTGATTAGCAAACTGCTACGTCCCTTTGGTTTTTCATGTAAAGTACAAATTAGCACTAAGTCCAAAAACTGTTAAAACATGTTTGCTATAGTTTCCAGGACTTGTTCGAATAGAGTATTAGTGATTTAGAAAGATGAAGATCATTGAGAAAGTAATTTGCTTATCATTAATTATCCTTGTGTAACAAATACATGATAAATCTCATTTTAAATCTATTGCACTCAAGTGTTTTACCAGAGATAAGGTAGTTTGATATGAGGACATTTTGGTAATCTTTTTCTCCTTGCTTCTTTAGTGATCTTCCTCCTGACATCAACAGATTTGAAATCACTCTTAGTAATAAAACAAAGAAAAGCAAAGATCCTGATATCTGTAAGTTGATTATAGACACTTTCTAAAGTAAAAAAGCATGCTTTCTAAAGTAAAAAAGTATGACTTATAAATTTTTAGAATTTATAATAAAATGCCCTAAAAAGGAGATAAAACAGAATTGTTCACTCTCCTTCTAAGCATATTGATTGTTCAGAGACTATATGAAGGAAAGAAAACAAGAGCATAATGCCTAAAGTGTACTAAGCCCTTATATTCACTCTCCCTTCCCCAAAGAATAGCAGAAGCGGTAGTAGCGATCATTTTTGTCTTCTTTCCTCCCTCTTTTCTACTGGGTTAGCTTTTTCCTGTACTTAGCATACAAAAGATACTCTTTGAAACTACTTTAAGACATGTAGCCCAATGGTAGAATACTTGTCTAGCGTGCAGAGGCCCTGGGTTTAATCCTTAGCCCTTCAAAGAAAAAAGAACAAAACAAGAGCAGAGAACTGCAAATACTCCCAGTTCTTGTTCAGAGCAGCACTTCTTCCCAGCCTGTTGGCAGAACAGATGGCAGAGGGATTTAGAATTCATATTAGGTTAATACCTTCTTATAACTCAGGCTTAGGGAAATAAGAGATATGAATTAACAGAAATCATAGCCTGAAGCGCTTAGAATAAAATGTTTATTTTGTAATTTCCTAACATTTTTTAAGTGTTTCTTCATTACTTTTATCATAAAATGCTAGTAATGAAAAAGAGCTGTATTTTTTATTTGGATGGTCATGTCTTTCTTTTCTCTACTTTATTACTTACCTGTTAAAAGTCACCTCAACGGTTACTTGTTTGGAATGGATTTTTAACCTCACTATGCTGAATTAAGTATCCTTGTGTCCCAAAGTTGCTATCTTCGGTTATAGCACTTACACTGCACTATATTTGATTCTTTTGGGCATCATCCATATAAGTCAGGCACATGTTTTAATCATCTCTGAATCCCATGTCCCTGGCCTATGATTGAGTCTAGCACACAGCAGGCCTTCATAAAATGAAAGAAGTAAGCAGTTAAGTATTGGATTTGTGATGTTATAAAAAACTTGTTTAATGAACATCACCTAATACTACAGAAAAGAATATCAAGAAAATTTACTTGTACGACCAGAGTGGTTTTTAATGCAGTTACCATGTTTTCTTTTGAAGTATTTATGCGCTGCCAGTTGAGCCGGTTACAGAAAGGTCATGCCACAGATGAATGGTTTCTTCTCAGCTCCCATATACCACTAAAAGGCATTGAACCAGGATCCCTGCGAGTTCGAGCACGATATTCTATGGAAAAAATCATGCCAGAAGAAGAGTACAGTGAATTTAAAGAGGTATTTTTTGTCTAGTTATTTCTGATGACATTAACAGCAACATTTACTATTTAATAAGAATCCATTAAGTTAAAATAGTAATCTTGTAGATTAATAGCATACTAATAGCAGGAGTTAAAAACCACATAGCATGATTTTAATATTATGAGGCTAGAAATATATTAGGCTATGAACTCATTCTATTTTTAACAAATTTATTTAGTGCACATATTTAACTACAAGATTATATTGAAAGAACATTCCTGTTGGTCTTATTGCACACGCATAATGCTGTGTATGTTCAGCAGTCTTTTTTTATGTCATTTTTAGCTTATACTGCAAAAGGAACTTCATGTAGTCTATGCTTTATCACATGTATGTGGACAAGACAGAACACTACTGGCCAGCATCCTACTGAGGATTTTTCTTCATGAAAAGCTTGAATCATTGTTGTTATGTACACTAAATGACAGAGAAATAAGCATGGAAGGTAAAATACAAATGTGTGGTAATTTAAAAAAACTGGGTTAAAATTTACATTTACATATCAAACATGTAGGCTGTTTTCAAATATATTTGTTAAATTACATTACAAAATATGTTCTTCTTTTCCTTCATCAGAAACTGTAATTGGGATACCAGGTCTAATTTTTATATTGGCTAATACAGAATTGGGCTACTGTTTCTAGTTCTGACATGGCAGATAGGTATTAGCTTCATGTGATTTCTGTGCTTGGATCAGTGACTCACAGTGTGTGATTATCCATAATAGTGTAGGTATTCTTACCAAATTCCTTCATGTTTTTACTCACCAATTTACTGAACATAAGTAGGGTGTCTGTTGCATTTTATTTCTAAATTCTGTGGTAGTTCTGAGGCCACTGGACATACCATTGTGCTTTTAACAGATTCCAATATGTCAAAATAATCTATGAAATAAGTAGACAGCAAAGCACAGTTTGGTTCCTACATTTATCATTAACTGATCTTAGACATGTGTTAAAACCACCATTTTGAGCCTTAATTTTTTCATATAAACACAATGGAAGTCACATCTTCTCATTTATAATGGGCATAATTTAATATACTCTGTCACAGAGTTAAATTGACAGAAATAGATGTCAGTATTAACCAATACTTATTCAAAAAGTACATTATTGAAGAAAAATAAATTTCAATTTGGGTAGATTAGTACAGCTCTGTAAAAGTAATCTAATATAAATTTTTGTGTAGATGAAGCCACGACCTTATTTCGAGCCACAACACTTGCAAGTACCTTGATGGAGCAGTATATGAAAGCCACTGCCACACAATTTGTTCATCATGCTTTGAAAGACTCCATTTTAAAGATAATGGAAAGCAAGCAGTCTTGTGAGGTAAGAATTTAATGTCTTTTAAGTATGTCAGCAAATAGAGTATTTTAATTACTTTCTAATGAATTATATCTGAAGTATATTATATCTAAAATGTAGTTTTGCCTTTTTTATACAAAAGGACTTTTAGAAGTGTAACTCAGTGGTACAAGGCCCTGGGTTGATCACACACATGTATACAAGGTAATTTCTCCTATTATAATAATCGTCAGATAGATATGTATTTTCAGAAAATATGCATAATATAAACGGAATGCTTTTTTTAGAGCTTTTGTTGTACACATTGAGTATCCTTTATCCAGAATGCTGAGGAAGTTTCCAGACTTATGGAATATATATATATAAATGAGGTTATTATCTTGATGGAACCCAATGAAATCATTTATGATTGATATGTACTGAGGGTAATTTTATACTGTGGTTTTAGAAGGCCTGTGCTTTGACTATGGTCCATCATATGAAGTCAAGGAATTTCATACTTGCAGCAAAATGTCTTGGGTAATCTGGAACATTTTAGAGAAAATGGGAATGTTTAACTTGTAAAACATGTTGTCATTAGAGGATTTTTTTTTTGGATGGGGGAGATAGGGATTAAAAAGAATGAAATAATTTTTTAAAAGATGATTAAGGCTTCAGTATAAGTTCTTGATAGTATCAATAATACAGTTGTTAATTTAGCACCAAGTTGTCCAAGTTCTTACAAATAAGGTGATTCCATAGTTAGCCTGTAGACGAGAACACTTGGATTTGGGGTTACCTAAAAAGTTTTGAGGGTTCATGATTCTGATTAATGAAAGCTTCAACTCACTAAAATGACTTTCTAAAATAAGTTTTGTTCTCAGATATATAGAATTGGGTAGTCACTGTTTGCTATTCATTTGAGTAGCTGGGAATGAATGCTTAGCAAACTTATTTAAAGAAGTTCCCTATACCATATTAGTTGACAGCCTTGAAAAGAGTAACTGTTTATCTACTGTGTATCTATCATCAGCAAAATATATTGATTTGTTTCTTCTTTAGTTAAGTCCATCAAAGTTAGAAAAAAATGAAGATGTGAACACTAATTTAGCACATCTACTGAACATACTCTCAGAGCTTGTGGAGAAAATATTCATGGCTTCAGAAATACTTCCACCGTAAGTGGTGAAATTTTCATTTCACAGAAACTGAATAAACTGTGTTTTGAAAAATTTCAGTAATATATCAATGCTTTCTGATGGAGTCATAATTTGGTTTTCGGTCCTTAGCTGAATTATGTTTAAAGAACAAAACAATTATTTTTTAAAATCTTATTTATTTTTATTTTATGTGTATGAGTGTATTGCCTGCATATATGTGAGTGCACCCATGTCATGCAGTGCCACTGAGGTCATAAGAGGTCTTCAGATTCCTCTGGAACTGGAGTTAAGGACTCTTTGTAGCTGCCATGTAGGTGCTGGGACTCGAACCCAGGTCCTCTGCAAGAGCCGTCAGTGCTCTTAACCGCTGAGCCATCTCTCCAGCCCTGATACAATTATTTTTTAAAAATCGGAGTAAATTACAGGCATTGTGGCACATGTCTGTGATCTCAGCACTGGAGAGGTTAAGGCAGGAAGATCCTGAGTTCAAGCTAACCTGGACAAGATACATTCTTAATAAAAAGGGAAAAGGAAAAAAAAAAATAATAGAAATACTTAATTTACAAAATGAACTCCTTATTTTTACAGGGCAGGCATGTCTGGTTTATATAGTAGCTTAGGGGTAAATTGCATGTCTTCTCAGATTTAAAGATAAGAAAGACACTATACATTTAGCCTCTAAATTTCTTATTCTTACTAAAGCAATGTGTGGCTGGCTCATTGGTGGCATAGCCCTTACCTAGCATTCATGAGGCCCTGGGCAAGAACATTAGTACCTTTAAAAAAAAAAAAAAAGTGTCAGTGTGTACTATCAGGACTCCAGAGTTGGTGAACTCACTTGTCTACTTGGAAGTCGAATTAGATTTTCTCCTCCCAGAACTTGTGCCACATTAATTCCTAGGTATTTTCATTTCTATTAATACAGAATTTTAAGTTGAGGAAGATCACTGGATTATGTTTTCTGCATCCACTACTAAATGTGGTTCTCATTACTTTTGACAAAATACTTTTGGGTGAAAAGGCCAATGCATTATAATGTGGTATATTTGGGTAAATTAAGTTTTGGGCTGCATTAGATTGTCCTTATTATCATGAAGATTATTTTTACATTGTGTATTGAGATGATTATGTTATTTTGGCAGGACACTGAGGTATATTTATGGGTGTTTACAGAAATCTGTTCAGCACAAGTGGCCTACAAATAACACCATGAGAACAAGAGTTGTTAGGTAAGGGTCATTTCTTCTTTTGTTATAATAATTGTATACAGCAATACCGATTCATGTTTTTAATATGTACACACGCATGAAATAGTGCTAAGAGCTGTAACTGAACCACCTAGATTTTAATTCGTTTGTAATACCTGTGATTTCAGGCTAATCTCTGACTAGAGTTTCTAGATTCAATCTATTGTACAATTAGAAGAATTGCTTTGGCAGAGGCATTTGGGAGCTTATATATAGGCTTTATTATTAAATGAGGAAGCCGATCTAGAGAGGTTCTAGTGTTTAAATTTTAAAGTGCTAGGTACCAAGAACTAGCAGAACTAAAGCAAAATTTCCAAGACCACCTAATTTAAATATAAAGATTTTGTTAAGCACAAGGTGTCTGGAAATTTACTACAAATAAATACATATTTATGGGAAATACAGTTATATTAAATTTAAAAAAGAAAAATACCCCAAAGATACTAATATTAAACAGTTTTGAAATGTGTGTCCATCCTACCTCTGACCTAAATTTTGTCAAAGTCTTCTAATTTTCTTGCAGATAAAATTTCTACTGGGGGCCTAGGTTAAGGTGAGCACTAGCCTAACATGAGACCTAGGTTTGATTCCTACCACTGCAAAAGTTAATCACATGCACAGAACCTCTCAGTTATATTAAGACATACTGAAGAACTATAGATGCTGTCTTGGCTTTAGAGGTGATTAGAAGAAAGAAATGTTCCAAGTGTAATATTTCAGCAGTTGTGTGATGGAAATTAAACTGTTTTGTACTATGTTTGTTATGTGCAACTGTTAAACCAATACAGCAGGGAATTCTGCTAGTTGGAGTCAAAATGACAGGGTGCTTTAATTCATGCTCAAGGTGGTTTCTCTTCCTTTAAATAGTGTATTGCTCAACTTAAAAATCACCTCAAAAATTCAAGATTAATTTCACGCTGAAGTTCTTTTAATGGTTCAGTGTTACCAGCTGAGGTTTCCAGTTTACAGACCCTACTTAAAGCATCAAAATTTTTTGTTGTTGTTTTTATTAGAAGAAGCATTTCATTACAACAGCACTGACATATTCAATAACAATTTCCAGAGCAAAGATGCATCTCTTTCAAAATTGGCTGTAAATTTTTAGGTTCAAAGTTGAATGAATGCAGTTATACAATATTGTACCTAGTATAAACCTTTTAAGGCATAATTGAATGAGGTTTTAACCTTTAAAAAAGATCTCCACAAAATGCTTTTGTAAAACTTAAGTTTAACAAACTGAAAAAATCTAAAGAGTTATATAATTGCTATAAATACTGATTTGAGAAATGATATTCATTTTCTAAGAGTTCAAAAGTAGCAAACTGGCATGTTTGAATGTTATACATTCTTAGAAAGGAACAAAGACCATGCCAATTATATTAGACTGTGAAACGAGTTTTATGAATTATTTTAGAGGAATAATAGCTTCTTAATTATTACTTTGGCTTCTTCTTAAAAAGAAGTTAAAAGAAAATTATATGACAACATACTTTTAGATATCCCTACTCTCCCTCTTTCAGTCATTATTAGTAAAGTTTATCTATATAGCTTACATGATTATACTACAGTTGTTCCTGAAGTAAAATTTGCAGGTAAAACATGATAGCTGTTTTTATACCATGTGCTCTTACATTAAATTTTTGCTATTACTTTGTAACTTGAAAACAGAAGACTTCTAAAGACTACTTTGATTAGAAATTACAATCTATTTATGGAAGCTTTTGGCATCAGTGTATACATTTTCATTTGCCAAGGGGTCACTGATATTTGACCATGTGTTCTTATGTTTATAAAACTTGGCAACAATATTGATACAACCAACCTAATTTACACTTGACTGGTTTTCTTTTATATAAGCAAGAGAAGGGTGGTTGGTAACCTATTGTACTATGTATCTATAAAAGGTTTATTTGTATTATCATCTTTCAGAAATTGCTAGCACACTGCTTCCTCTAAGTACAAAGTAAACTACTAGTCTAGTATAAACAGAAGCTAAGATGGTAAAAGCTACAGATAAACTTAACATCTTCCTAAAGGTAGTTTAAAATTCTTAGGCTTATTGTTTTCTTAATTATTTCTGTGTTTATGCTTACCTACATTAATTTAAAGGTTGTAGCTCTTTGAAGTTTATATATTCTAATGTTCTTTAAAAAAATTTTTTTTTCCCTTCCAATCAGTGGATTTGTTTTTCTTCGGCTTATTTGTCCTGCCATACTGAATCCACGGATGTTTAATATCATCTCAGGTAATCGGCTTTTGATCACTTCTGAAGTTTAAAAAAAAAAAAAAAAAACCTGTTTCATATTTGATAAAATACTTGCTTTCTAAATCTGATTTTTAAAATGTTGTCGAAGACATGGTACCTTCCCTACATTTCTAGATATTAGAATTGCATGTACTTCCCATTTCACATTTTATTTTAAAAATATTTCTTTGTAAGAGTGTGTGTTCTTGTTGTGTATGTGTATAGGCATCCACCTGCCACAGTGTGCATGTGGAGGTCAGGAGGACAGCTTGGCAGCTGGAAAACAGATCATGCGAAACTCAGGAATCAGGTCATCAGGCTTGGCAACAAGTGCCTTTACCCACTGAGTCATCTGGCTGGCCCTCATACTCTTAGAACTTTTGACAGTCTGTAATTGTGCTTTTATAGGTTGAGAAGTACTCTTGTGTGCTCAGTCCATGTTAGGTTGCTGTAAGCTGAACTTGCGGGTCAAGTTAAAAATTTATGTGCTCTGTGAATATATATAAAGAAAATAGTCTTGGTTCTTCTCATTAAAGATTATTTAACACTAGTTATATATTAGTCATTTTAAATTCTAAGAAGCCTGATTCAGTTTTATTAGGCTTTTTCTTCATGTGCATGTACCCACAGAGGCTAGATGCCCTGGAGTTAGAGTTGTACATAGGTTGTACATAGGTGCTGGAAACTGAACCTGGGTCCTCTGGAAGAGCAGTATGCATTCTTAACCATTGAACGAACCATCTCTCTAGCCTTGCAGGCTTCTTTTAAACAAAGGAAAATTCAGGTTTATGATTTCAAATGTTGTAATGAGCCATTATTAATAGAAGGAAACAGAACCATTTTTAGCCTAATATTTTGAACTTCAAAACTGTTAAAAATATTTTGAGGAGCTGAAGAGATGGCACAGCAGTTAAGAGCACTGGCTGCTCTTGCAGAAGACCTGGGTTCTGTTCCCATCACCCACATGGCAGCTAACAACCAGACATAACTCCAGTTCCAGGGGATCCCACACCCTCTGACCTCCACAAGCATTGCACGACACAGGTACACTTACATATGCAGGCAGTATATGCATATTTTAAAAAGATTTTGAACTGGGTATGTAATTATGACCATAGTACTTGAGAAACTAAGGCAAAGATAGTACAAGGCAAGTCTGGGCTATGTAGCTAGGCGTTGTCTCAAAAATTATTTTTGGGCTGGCATGTGCGTGTAAGGCCCACACTCAGGAAAGCTGTAACCAGAAGATGTCTTTAATCCCCAAATACCTGTTTTTTCAGTAGTTTAATTTTCACTTTCATAGCCATCACATACATTTTTGTAATTACTTTTCATTGCTAAGATAGATAAATGTCCATTGAGGATAAACCGCTAGCCAGGTGTGTGGCACATGTGTTTAATCCTAGCACTCTGGGGGCAGAGGTATGTGTGGGTCTCTGTGAGACCAAGCCATACAAAAATAAATAAAAGGCAGGGACTACAAAAGATGGCTCAGTAATTAAGAGTACGTATTGTTTGCATAAGACTTTAATTCAGTACCTAGCATCCATGCCTGGCAGTTCACAACCACCTGTAACTCCCAACTCCAAGGGATCCAATATTCTCCTAGCACTTTGTCCCACATCCACACCCCCACCCACAGAATGCTTATGACAGCTCTATCTGAATACTGGCCTTAAATTGCTACTTCAACAGTATTTATAGTTCACATAATTAAGAGTATAATAAGGAGTGAGTACCTATAGGATTTACTGGTAATTACTTTGGGGTGGGGATGTAGCTGAATTGGTAGAATGATTGCATAGCATGTATGAGGCCCTGGTTTCGATCCCCAGAACCACATAACCAAAAATGGTGGCACATGCTTTAACACAAGGGATGAAGTAGCAAGAGGATCAGAAATTTGTCAGACAGCCTTGGAGTGAATTTGAGGCATGCCCAGGACATATGAGACCATCCCTTGTAACAATCTTGTAGGTTTCTATTTAATAGCTACAAATACTTTCCCAATATCTGTGTTCTACATGGAGATTTTTTCCTGAACTTCCTGAGCAATTAGCGGACTGCAGATAATATTGAGAGCAGGGAATTGCTTAGACTGTGAAGTGCTAACCTGAGTGGGTTGATACTAGCTTTTTGAATTGTCCTGAAGAGGTTTATATGACAGTCATCTTGGCAATAAAGAAGCTTTTTGAAGTATTTTGAAATATTATCAACCAGTTGGGAATTAGTTGAATTTTTAAGTACCCTTTTCACAAAATTAAAAACACTGCTAAGTATGCTCAATTTCCTCCCTTTATCTCAAGTTCTTCTGTATTAGGTCATACATTTTTAGACATGGATTCTGAACAGAAATTTTGTATTTTAGCAGTAAAAAAACACTGAAGTGCCTAATTTCTAATGGTTTACATGAAAGTTAGTCACTAACTCTGCTCAATTCTCTTCCAGACTCTCCATCTCCTATTGCAGCAAGAACACTGATATTAGTGGCTAAGTCTGTGCAGAATTTAGCAAATCTTGTGGAATTTGGAGCTAAGGTAAAAACATTTTGATACCTAAAAATCACTGGTCACATTTTAAATTTTAATTTTGAGATGTATTTTCAGAACACAAGACTTGTTAGTATTCTGGCTGAGATGATACTGTTACCTGCTTTTTTAACTTAGTATGTTTGTGAAAAACCTTGCTAAACCTGAACTGTTTTATTCATCACATGTCTGTTAAGTAGTCCTCTCTTAAGACATTTAGCTAGCTTTCAATTTGTTACTGTTATTTGCTATCCTAAACTTTTGGAGTACGATTAATAATTGAATATACGTTTTATGTGTCTGCTGTATATTCTATAATTGCAGGTATCATTTCTTACCTTTTTTTGATTATCTAATAAAAATACTACTATGTGTGACATTAATAATTTCTCTTAGAATTTCATGGCTTCATCTTGGGAATTTCTGATTCTTTTCTCATGAGGCTTTGTTGATAACCATATTTACTTAACTATATTTTTATATCATTTTTATATCATTTAGGATTTTAAAGTACTTTAGAGTTTTGAATTTATCTAAAACCTGAGGCAAATAATGTCCCACTGCATTCTTAGTTTCACTGTATTTTAATTTGTTACAATCTCTGTTGGATTCATCTTCATTAAGTGTATATACATAAGCAATTTGCATCTGCCAAACATTTAGATTTTTCATTAAAACACCTTGCCACCTTTATATAAGGGAAAATACCGTGATGTGAATAACAATTTTTGGTACATACATATTTTTTGTTATAAAACAAATGTTTCTAAGGTGTATGTTTTTAACTTTTTAGGAGCCTTATATGGAAGGTGTCAATCCATTTATCAAAAGCAACAAACACCGGATGATCATGTTTTTAGATGAACTTGGGGTACGTATGAAATTTTCAACTATTTTGCAAATAATACAGTATGACTAATTAAACCATGCAAACAACACATTTTAGAAAGATTTTCTATCTAGAACACAAAATTTTCACTTGTTTCTTAGTGTTTTATGCGACCTCTGTAATGTGATTTTTTTCATTCATTATTCCTTTAGCTATTGTAGTTAGCTTTTAATTTGTAGCTGTAGTAAAATTTGAAATAAGGTAGATAATCCAAAATTGAAACTAGGTTAAATAATAGACTAGAGAATGAATGTTTTGGTGGATTTCCCCAGGAATATATGGATTTTTAACTGTTTCATTCAATGTAATTACCTATACCTTACATAACTAATCCTTTATAAGTAATAAAATACAAAATTAAAGGATATCATTTCTGAGACACTAATTTTTACATCATTTAAGTTTTCAGAGACAATGAGTTTTAAAACTAAACATTAGTAATGCAGTTCCTGTACATACAAAGAAAAGGGTAGTATGTTGGGTGATGAGAAACAGGTTTATGACATTGGGAGTGTTGGGTTGCCTACATTTTTGTATTAGTGTATTCAGGTTCAAAGCCCCTGTCAACAATGACCACAGTTTTGGCAAACAAACGGGGCTTAAACATAAACCCTTGTAATCTCAGGTATAAAACTCGTTATTTACATCAATGGCTTCATATTTCCAAGAGAACAACACCTAGGAAGGTTTGGTGATATGAATATTTACAGTTAATCAAAAATAAAGTTGGTCTGTTTTTCCTGCCCATCTGTGATACATAATTTTTTTTGTCCTTATTACTGACCTGCAGGCTCTGAAATTATCATTTCTATAATCTTTTATTCACTAAATACCTTGGTGAATAACTGAGTCAGACAGAATGAATACATTTGAATTTTTTCTCTACTATAAAAAAACTGGAATGCCCTGCAATTTTTAAAACACGTGTAATATAATCATTAGGAAGAGGAATGCACTTATATAAAACTGTTAATCCAACCGCATGTTAATTTTTATTTCAAGGCTTGATATAATTTTGGCACAGATACATTAATACAGTGCTATAAATTTATTATCGATGTGAAGTTATTTCATGAGCCTTAAAATACACTGCAGTGTCCAATGATTACTAATCTCTGACCTTACAGCAATTATTTTGAACAGTCCACAAACATTGTAAGCCAGATGTTTTTATTCCACTTTTATTACAATGTTCCTCTTTAGATGTTGGTCAATTTGCCATAAATCCTCTAAAAATTTTATTATTGTATATATGTATGAGTGTACTGCCTGCATGTATGTAAGTGCACCTGTGTCATGTAATGGCTGGGAGGTCTAAGAGGGCATCAGTTCCCCTGGAACTAGAGTTACAGATGGTTGTTACTCACTATGGGAACTGAACCTGGGTCCTCTGCAAGAGCAACCAGTGCTTTTAACCACTGAGCCATCTTTCCAGCCCCAAGTTGCATAAATCTTAATGAAATTCAGCTCAGGTATCCCAAGTTTAAATTGTACTAATTCCAAAGCAAGTAATACCAATATTTATTTGGCATATGTTCCAAGTTAAAAAATTTAAAAACTCATAATACCATATTCTGCCATACTATGGAAGAAAGTAGAACCTAGCTTTCAAGTGAATACAGAAGTTCCAAACCTACATTTCAACAGGACTTTTATATTTAAACAAAGTTCTTAAATTTCTAAATTTTAACATGCAGAATAGAATGTTAAAAGTTCTATATCCAGTTAGGATCATTTCAGAAGAGACTACAAAGATTTGTATTTCTAAATGCAGTTTTATGATTTCCTTAAAGAATGTACCCGAACTTCCGGACACTACAGAACATTCTAGAACTGACTTGTCCCGTGATTTAGCAGCACTGCATGAGATTTGTGTAGCTCATTCAGATGAACTGCGAACCCTCAGTAATGAACGTGGTGCACAGCAGGTAGGTTTTTGCAAAACAGTGATGCTTATCCACTTTAAATGGCAAATATAAAAATGACAAACTAATAACAGCAGTAGTGAGATGCATTATTCCTTCAATTACTCTCATACAAGGTACATGCACAAAGTTATTCCTTAAATTGTGAAACACAAGAACTATATGAGAATTTAAAACTTCCTATAGATACCTTAGAAACTTCATTCAAGTGGGAGTGAATCAATCTTAAGCACTAGTCCACATTAGACTTCTGCTGTCCAAACCAAAACATGTAGATTAGGACTAGAACTTGAAAGTATTTATGCATGAATATGTTATTCATGAATAACACGAATTATGTTTTGAATGATCTATCCTTTGGGAAAAATTTTGTAAATCAAGGCATAAACATAAGTCTGTCTAGTCTGAGTAGTTTCTCCCATTATATGTTAACCACTGCACTGCCTTGCTATCTAGAAGGGATAAAAAACAAATGAAAGCAATGAATAAATTTAGAGATTTGGGATTCCTCACTTTTATTTTTCAAGTTTAGATAATAGTCTTGATTTGAGTTCCAGCCTAAAAATCTTAAGTTTAACTTAGGTTTATATTGACAAATCTTTCTTCTAGTAAGATCGCCTCTATCTTGCTTAAAACTAAAAATCTTCACTATTTGAGTAGTAGAAACTCACAATTTTATGTTTTATAAAATCCAGATTTCTGTCCTGAAATTTTAGACTACTTTTTCACATAATTATTTTCATACTATTTTTCCTTTTGTCTAGCATGTGCTGAAAAAGCTTCTGGCTATAACAGAACTGCTTCAACAAAAACAAAACCAGTATACAAAAACCAATGATGTCAGGTAGCAGCCTTTGCCTTGGTGTTCTGCATGGATTCAGCATACCCAACATGGTAATTCACATCAGTATAATGTTTCCTTTGCTCTTGCCAAAAAATAGCACACCTTTCCACATTCCAGTGATGTGTGAGCTATGCAAACAAAACCCAAGATTCTGCTGGCAAATAACTGCCAGCAAATTTGTAAGCTATCTGTGCAGGATATTTGCACTTTTTCCATATGGAATCTTTACCAAACTCTGAGCCTTGATGTACAGATCACCTTTCACAAAAAATGATGACTGTGTCTTGAACTTTGAAAATATATTTTCAATACATCCAATTGCCAAAGTTTTGCTGCCTCTTGGAAAAGAACTATGGAATCAACTGACAAGGAAAGCATTCTCCATTGACAACTGAGTTTAACTGGATTGCAGACTGTTCCTCCTCATTAAGAATATGACCATTTGACTGTTCAATGACTTTGTATTACAGTTTCCAGAGTTTGACATTATAATAGGAACAATCTTTGCTGTATACTTTTAAAAAATACTGTGCTATTCTCTTTCTGAAACTGTTGAAAGACAATATATAGAATGGATGAATCTATTGCTCATCAGCTTTATTTTTTAAACATACCACTTATTTTGTTGGAATTGTCAGACTGTATTTAGATCTCACAATGCTTTTGTTAAAATGTTTACAATAGTAAATAGTTTAAATTCAATAAATATTGGTCATTTTACCAATCAATGCATGTTACCCATTCTACCATTTTATATATTACCAATGTCTTTTATGACTTAAACAAAAAGTACTAGAATACTTTTGTTAATTCCAAGATGATCTTTTTTGTTATTCCTTTGATTATGCAGACAACCTCATCAGCCACTGAACAACTTAATCCATCTTTGAACTTCTGACTACTTGTTTCTTCTGCTGGATATTTAGTTTGTATAGTTTTATTTACTTCTGTATATGTATTTTTGTGAAGTATTCACAAGGGTTAAGTTAAAATAAACCAAGGGTTATCTTGCATAAATGATTACTTCTGTGTAAACCTGGCTTAAGTATTTAACTTCATTATTTTCTTCCTCTGTTAAGGGACAGTCACAACTTTAGTACCAGAGCAAGGCCCAGGCAGATTTTTTTTAAGGTGTCTCATCCATAAAGGATTCCATTATTCATTCAATGAACAATTTGCTAAGCAGTATATCCTCCTGTCCTATATTGTGCAAGAGATGAGACTTACTCTTAAGGAACCAAGAAAAGGCATGGAAAACCGTTAGTTACTTCAATAGAGAAAAATTTCCAAAGAGCTAGGTTCAAAAAGCATTTGATTATATTCCTTGGAGATACAAAATATGAGAATAGATGTTAAGTCATCTGTTTGCTGAAGTTCAAACTGAGGGTCCTCATGCATATTTTAGAGAAGTGTTTGGTATTATTACCACTGAAATGTTTCTCATGATTAAATACTAGGCTTAATGAAGCCAAAAAGGGTTAATTATGTATATAGAGGTGGCTGTCTTTTAATCACAGTTCAATAGTGATACCAAAAATCTGAATATATTGTGTACTTTTTGGCTTTGGTATCAAAGCCATTCATCAGCCCATTCTCTCCCTTCTTGTCTCTGGATCATGGTACTTTCCTGTTCTTTCTTTTGGCTGAACTACGATAGTATCTCTGCTAGTCTCCTTTTCTTGGTTTACAAGGGATTTGTACTAGTGGATGTAGATATACATGGGCTTCTAAAATGCTTTAAAAATAGGCAACAAGTCCAAAGTCTAATACAAGGCATTTTAGATCCCTCTTATCAATTGTATTTCAGTGTTCAGTTCTGCCATGCAAACTTCTCCTTTCCTCAGTCTGACATTCTCCCTTTTTTGACATTTATTTAATAACAAACCTGAAAGACTTAGCCAGCTTTTTGTATTTTAATGACGTTTGTCTCTTAAAACTGGAATGGAAAATTTGCTACTTACCTTTGTAGGCCCTTTATTATCTAGGTATTCATGTTGAAATAAAATCTCTCAAACTAATTTTTTAATGGGGCTGAGTAAGAAATTTTTAGAGATCTAAGTGTGGACCTTGCTCTGATGTTAAGGTTTTGTAATCTGAAAGAGAAACAGGAGATAAATTGTGAACATCTGCAATTCTGTCTATAGCCTGGTACAGTGCTTCTAAATCTGGACTATACTGTGGATATTTTTGGTTTCCACTCTACTTTTATAAAATTCTACTTCATCAATTATATTCCTTTCATTCCAGAAAGGAATATAAAACAAACAAAAAATCAGAAACCCCAAGAAACTCAAGCCTTAAATGAAAAATAAAGCATTATAACTAGGTATGGCACACTCCTTTAATTCCAGCACTTTGGAGACAGAGGCAGGTGGATCTCTGTGAAATGGAGGCCAGCCTGGTCTACATATTGAGTTCCAGGCTAGCTGGGGCTACATGAAGACCCTATTTCAAAAATAATCCTTATTAGAGAAAAGCATGCATATATAGTAAATATTACCATCACAATATTGAGACATAAAAGCTACTTTCCCTCTCTCTCTGAAAGTGACTCCTAGAATGTAGCTTAATTAGATTCAAAGTTAATTGAGTTTCTTATAATTTCTTTTAAGAAAAAAAAAAGGGCCCACTATACACATAATCATGATTTGGTCCTAACTGTAACTCCTGCCATTTATTCCATTAAAACAGTATTAATACATGACAAATCCATATTACCATGTCAGGAACTACTGTGAATAACTTATCAGGAATAAGCACAATATTCCCCATTGTCTACCTGGAAGACCAGTACACTTGCTAAGTCCATACAATAGTAGAGGCATTTGTGATCCATACCTAAGTTAATGTAGTGCCAGTTTAAAAAATAAAAATTATTTTAATTTTAAATTTCTTGAACATATTTCATCTACAAAATTCCTAGCAACACCTATTTTATATGGATTCACCTAGAGGTGATCATTTAATAATTATAAAACTGAACATATAATTTGCCACCACATATCTGTAAAAATTTAAGATTTTTATCTAGACAGTTATTCAAGACTTTGTATCTAATTTAAATCCAAATGTTTTTCCAGTAATTATTTGGACAAAAGATTCACTATCCAGGTACTAATTAAATAACCAGCAAATACATTCTAAAGCACAATAGTAATATAAATAGCTATGTATATTGGGAAAAACACTTGAAAAGCCATTTATAAGGCCCCTAGAGGACAAAACCTGTATCTTTTGCACATTTGAAGCTTATTTAAGTTTTGCTTTTCTGATGTATTTCTTCTAAAACGATGTTTGCCTATCACATTTTGTTTAAAACAGTACATGCAAAGTGCACTTCAGTTTTACTTTGGCCACCATAGGAGGAACTGATCAGATACCAATCCAAATTAGGTGGCATTCTTCCTCTTCCGAAGACACTGTATTTCACACAAAGCAATCACAAAAGGAAAAAAAATTCAATAACGTAAAAAAGTTTAATATATTTTCATGTTTTTTACATTGTACTTTAAAAAATAAAGTTATATGCCAGACATGCTTCCTACTTCTGTTGATTAATCATAATCAACTTCAAATGGTTAGAGAGAATCTACGAGGTCATCATCAGTCCATTCCTCCTAAGAAGGGAAAAGAAAAGTATGGTAAGGAAACATTCTTGTTTACCTCCCTTCAAGAAAATGTTGATGATTGTCTCCTGTAGATTGCCAAGTTTATCTTTGTTTTTTGAGACAAGACTCATATAAGGCTGGCCTTGGATTCTTCTGTCTCTGCCTCCCAAGTGCTGGGACTACTGGTGTATGCTCCCAAGTTCAGCAAACAGACTAATCTCAATAGCAATACTGGCACAAGACTCTCAGCAGCCCACCCAGTGAGGGTAAAGATTACAGTTGTGACCTTCTGCCTCTTCTTATTTACCTCAGACTTGTTAGGTACAATTTGAAAAACTGGGGTGGGGCAAGGGGAAAAAAGAATAATATGCTTCCTATGAGCATAGCAAGAATTCTTTCTTTATTAAGTAACTTATACTGCTTTAGAATTGGCTGATATGGTAATACCAAGAAAAAAAAAATTCCTGTATAAGCTGCTGCCACTTGTTTCAGGCCCCCTGCCATGACAGACTCTTAACTTCCCTGAACTGTGAACAAAAATAAATCTTTCTTAAAATTTCTTTTAAGAGCCAGATGTGGTGGTTCATGCCTTTAATCCCAGCACTTGGGAGGCAGAGGCAGGTGAATCTCTGTGAGTTCAAGGCCAGCCTGGTCTACATAACGAGTTCCACGCTAGCTGGGGATACCAGGAAACCCTGTCTGAAAAAGACCAAAAAAAAATTTTTTTTTTCTTTTAAGAAATGGACAATGTGCCCAAAGAGCAAATGGATACTTAAACTTCAGAGAAGCACCTTGTAATTCAGCACTTGGGAGGTTGAGATAAGACTAGGAGTTCAATGCCAACTTGAGCTGCATAGCAAAACAACATCTCAAAAAAAAACACTGCGCAGCCCCAAACAACCTGTCTAATGCTTCTAATACTCCAGAATAGTAAATCCTATGTCATGCCAGAAGATACAGCAAAATGATTTACCTTTGGAATAAACATACCTCTTCATGTTTGGGTTTCTTTGATACATAGTCATCATCTTCATAGCCTTTCCTCTTCTTCCTACAATTAAGCAAATATCAATAAGCAATCGGATACTGTTGACAAAACCTATGAAACAGGAATTAGCCAGGCTATATGCAATACAAGCCAGTGTGGTAGTTCACACCGATAAGCCCAGCATTCAGACTGAGGCAAGGATTGCATCAGGAGTTCAGACCAGCCTGGGATAGAGTGAGACCTGGTCTCCACAAACAAACAGAGATATATGTCTTTTGAAGCATAGGGCCCAAATAAGTAGAAAGAGATAATTTATGAATATGAAGTCAATACTTGTCAAACCAATTATCTAAACCCAACACAATTCTAATGAGAAGATTTGGGGAGGGGGCTAACCAAGTCTAACATGAACCTAGAAAATTATGGAAAGAAAAAAAATTAGGAAAGAGGCTGGATATACCTATAAACACAGTACACAGGACTGGGAATTTGGGAATAATTCTACGCTACACAGTGACACCTTGTCTCATATAAATATAGCAGTCTTTTAAAAAAGTGTTGGAAGACTTCTCTTGGCTATCGTAATAGCATACTAAAGCTGAGCCCAGTGTTAGGGCACACCTGTAATGCCAACACTCAGAAAGGGTTAAGTAGAATGGTTGAGAATTTGAGGTCTACCTGGGTCATACAACAAGACCCTGTGTGTGGGGGGGAGGGGGGCACACACTATAAAAGCTATAGTCATTAAGAGACGGTATCATCAAAGGGGAAAAGCAAAAATGGCTGCACATGGCCAGTAAGATAACTTAGTGGGTAAAGGCACCTGTTGCCAAGTCTGAAAACTTGAGCTCAATATCCAAGATACATAACACACATACACTAAATGTAACAATAAATGGCTACACATATGAATTTGATCTGATTTAAAAATGTCAACTAAGAAAAGCAATAGCTACCCCAAGGCAAGCTGGGATAAAAATGGCTAGTATTGGGGGAGGGGAGCATCTTGCAATTCACAATTTTTTGAAGCAAATATTAAGTAAAAGACATATATAGGAAAGTGAAAGTAGGATTATCACATTAAAAAGATGACTATATAGGATTTCTAAAGCACTACAACAAAAATACAAAAATTAGAGAAGGGCCATAAATAACCAGTTGCAGCTAAAATACAATGACTGTAATCCTTGAAGCATCAATAATTCATAGCAATCAGGGAAATGTATATTTTCACCCAGACTTGTAAGCATTGAAGATTCATGATATTAAATATTGTGTATATAGACACTAATACAAAGAAAATACATCATACATTTATACAGACATAAAGGTTGACAAAAGGTAATCAACACCTGATAAATTACTTCTGAGGCCATGATGGAGATTTGGGTTTTGTTCTAAGGAAACTTTATTTTTTACCCATACAGTTGTCGTATACTGAAAAATAAAAAAAAAAAGGTAAAAAATTTTAGTGATCAAGGGAAAAAAATGCTTTATGCTGAAGTAGTGCCACTCAGTATTGTCATGAGCTATTTCCAGTCTGCAATGAGATCAGTACAGAAACTGTGCACTTAGAAGCTTTTAAGTACTTCTCACTGTTGGAGCTAATAAAATTTGAACTTCTACTTTTGTACGTTTAATGTTTTGTAAAGTATATTTCTATTGTCTAGAACACTATACTTGTTCCTCAAGCCAAATGTGATATTGATAAAGGAGACCAAAATTTAAAGGTTTCATAGGAAGACTGACCCCTGATAATTCTAGAAGGAGGAACAGGCCAAGAACATAAGCCAAAGAACACACAAATGATAGCAGTATCAGCACTAGAATGAAAGCCAAACTGTTCACTTCCTTTGTTTGATCCCACTGGAAATGTACATCTAGGCTAGGCTGGAGATGTGGGCAATGGTAGAACACATCTATAAAGTCGTGCATTCAACCCTTAACACAGCCAAAAAGAAGTATACTCAATTAAAAAAAATAATAATTTGTCAGGGTATGGTGGCACATGCCTTTAATCCCAGCATTGGGGAGGCAGAGGCAGGCAGATCTCTGTGAGATGGCAGTCAACCTGGTCTACACAGCAAGTTTCAGGCCAGCTATGGCTACAAAAAAAACCTGTCTCAAAAACAAAACAAGATGAACAAACTTTCCACCAATAAAATTTAAGCAACAGTTAAACTAGGTGACTTCTTGAACATAATTCTCTTGTCACGTCTACTTACGTAACTACATTAAGTGCAAGGTCAGCAGAATGACATCGCTCCAACTTCTGTTTCAGAATAGCAACTTCTTCAGATCTGGGTGGCTCATACTTTTTTACTAGGTTTTTCATGCCTATGTGAAGATAAAATTTAAAAAAAAAGTTTATTCATACAAAAGTCTTATATAAAAGTCTAACCATATAATGTGAACAAAATAATTTCTCAACTTGTTTCAGGAAATAGTAAGACATCTGAGATGACATGTACATTCTTAATGTGATTTGTCGCAGCCTGTATTAAAATCAAGAAGCACTTGTTCAGTGGGTGTCTGCTGTTTATCCCATATAATACATGCCATGAAGATAATCATGCTATCATCCAGTTAGTATTTTTAGTGAGTATTTGAGGCTTTTAAAATAATCCCTATGTGTTTTAGTAAATATTCCTTACTCTCTACCACCAACCAAATTCATTAACAGTCTGTCTTACAGATGATGAGCCAAGAATGTACTTATTTACAAAAGAAACAACAGGTATCAAAGAGGGATGCTTCTTTAACAAAATGTAGATCCTATATAAAAACACCATCCTTTGCAAGATTAAAAACAAACCTATAGATGAGTAACTTAAGACTGCCAAACATCCTTTAACTGATCTCATTATTCATAATAAACCAAATATAAATCTGAAAATTGATTAGGGGCATGATGAGAAGTTCGGGGACTTACTATGCAGCCATACTGTACTACTGTAACAGTACTACTAACTAGAGTGTTTTTACCTGGTACTTGTGATTCACTATCTTTATGGCAATATCTGTCTTCTAAGAAAATTATGAATACCTTCATATCATTAAAGCTGAATTATGACGCATTTTCATACTAAACAATTTCATATTAAAACAAGTAGAACAAAAGAAAGATAATGAGAAATTAGTACTTAAATGTTTCTAAGTTTATCTTTATGGTCTCCTGTACCTACTAAATCCTGCTATCTATAAGCAAATCACAATTAGCTTTGAAAGTGAACCCTCTAGTGGTAAAAATGGAGACCTACAGTTTTTAGTTTAAAAAAAAAAAATCTCCATTCTCAAGAGGAAATCTAAGATCACTTCAAGCAGAGAAAAGCAAGGCATGACAACTGCCGGCCCCAAAGTCTGACTTTTAAAATAAACAAGCATTAAAATGTATACTATCACCTAGGTCAAGGTCTGAAATTCTGTATTTTATTGATTTATTCAATAATGTTTAAAAGAATGACAGGTAGAAAAAGGGTTAGGAATAAAGACCATTAAAATGCATCCTAGTAGCTATGAACAAAATTGCCAAAAGCAATTAAGAGGGAGAAATAAGTGTGGTAGCACACCCACCCCTATAATCCCTGCACTTAGGAAGCTACAGCAGTGAGCTCTCCAAGTTTTAAGCCCAACCTGGGCTGACAGCCAGACTCATTTCCACAAAAAAAAAAAAAAAAAAGTAGTTTTTTTTTTTTAAAGAATGGAGGGCTGGGTAATACTGCCAGATAATTTAAGCAGAGGATTCTAATCAGGATTTCTAAAGAGGATTTCAACACCAGCCCTGATGAGTTTTTAATAAGTCTGTTATATAGTCTATATTAGTTTTCCAAGGCTTCTATTAAAATTATCACTAATGGTGTTTAAAGCAACCACGTATCACACTTTTGGAGCCCAGGAAGCTGAAATCAATTTCACTAGGCAAAAATAACACTCTAGTGAAAAATTCACTCTGCCCTTTTCTGGTGGCTACCAGCACTTTGGTTTCTCACCATATCACTCCAGTTTTTAAGACCAAGATCTGAAAATCTCTGTGGTGTCTAAATTTTTTTCCCATGTCAAATTTCTTTCTTTTGTGAGGATTCTTGTCCTCAGAGGACTGCATTTATTATTCACCACAATCCAGCTTAACATCACCATTTTAAGATTAATTTAATCTGCATAACTCCCACCCCACCTTTCTGCCATCTAAGGTAACATTCAGAGGGTCTAGACAGACCATGACTACTACAACGGCTATCCTACACACTGTAGGACATTCAGCATTTTCTTTTTCTGTAGTGCTAGAGTTTGAACCAAGAATTTGTACATGGTAGGCAAGTGCTCTACCACGGAGTCCCAATTCTGGTCCCAGATGATTAGGTGCATTTTTACATTCATCTACTAGATACTGGTTGCATGCATCACACACTCTAAGCAGTGACAGTAAAAAAAAGTTTCTTGAAATTGACATCTCACATCACCCTCCAATCCCATTTGGAACTATTGGCTTTGTATTACTGATGACCAAAATGACTATCAAAGGTCATATATTAGCTAGTTAAAACTGTAAAACAGAAATTCCAAATGTAAATATTATTTTTAGGGTAGTTCCCTTAGGTCACTTTTCAATGCTGATCACATATTTGGGCTAAAGAACCTTCTTTTGACTCACTAAACTCTTCCTGAATCTGATTTTCATTGATTCTCTTGATATGTATGAAGAGAATTTCTTTTCACATACTTTTAATTTGTTCTCTACCAATGTATCTTTAATGCTTTACAATACAATAATGCAGTGAAATACCAAGTATTTATTTAGAAAGCAGCTTTGTTAACAGAAGAAGATTTAATTGTTATGTTTCACTTACTTTTCATTTTATCTAGTAACTGTGACAAGCAAGTTCTGTTTTCTTTCAGCATTAGACTCTCTGATAAATAACTGGTAAAGAAAAGAAAATGTTTTTATCTATTGAAAACATAGAGTATATTGAAAAGACATGACAAATTATTTGCTTCCATGTTCATTTCATCAAGGATAATATAAAAATTCTTTTATTTTAAAATGTATTACATAATACCTAGAACTCAGTCTTAAAGATTTACTACCATTTATATTAGCTTAAGAGAGGCTTACTGTTCAAAGTCAATTTATTTAAATTTCATTATATATAAGCTTTCCAAGGGAAAATAGCATGAAAACAAAAGTATTAAGTCAACATCTGTAATATTTATATTAAATGTTTGATATAGTCTGTACACCTAACCTCATCTGATGGATGAGAAGTCTTGAGTTATAAATAGATAAACCATGATTTTGTACTTGCCCAAGTCTTAAAGCTCAAAAGCAGGAGGTATATGACACCAGTTCTCTCCCCTTCATAGTAAAGATATTTTCCCTATAGCTGTACTTCTAGAGTATAACAAGCAATACAATGGACAAGAATATTATCCCATGCTTTATAAATCTAGTACATCTTATGTGTATCAAGCCTGAATCAAAGGTACTAATTCTTAATACTTTTCTATAAATGGTTTTGGTTATTCTGTTTTATTTTTCTTGGAAGAATGGGTCTCTCTCTAGTCCCTCCAGGTTTGGAGCCCACGGTGTAGGCCAGGCTGGCCTTGATCCCACAGAGATCCACTGACCTCTGCTCTGCCTCCCAAGTGCTGGTATTAAAGGTGTGCATTACCATGCCTGGCTTCTATCAAAGTTTTATAAAGCCTAATTATCAGAACTAGAGTACTATGAAAATACAATTTGTTTAAATTTTTAATTACTCTGAAATTTTACTTACAAATATTTGATCTATCATTGATTAAAAACTCCAAATAAACTGGGTGTGGTGGCGTGCGCCTTTAATCCCAGCCCTTGGGAGGCAGGTGGATCTCTGGGAGATTGAGGCCACCCTGATTCACATTGTGACTTCCAGGTGGGCTGTGACTCTGTCAAAAAACAATCAAAAATAAAAAAACAAAATGAAACAAAACAAAAATCCCACAAAAAACCTCCAAATAAACAGATTCTCATTTTTAAAGCATAAATATAAAAAGTAGGGTTTTTTTCCTCCTGGGTAGTTATAAAAATGAAAAGCAAGGTTTTAAGAACTGTTGTTGCTATAGTTTAAGCTATCCAGATTAAACTATATTACAAGATTTGGTAAGTTCGAGATCAACTACTTTCTTCACACACTTGCCATCTTCCTTTTTTTCTTTTTATTCCCATTCATTCTCATTCTCTCTCTCTCTGGGTCTCATGTAGTACATTTAGAACTCAATGATGTAGTAGAGGATGACCCTGAACTCCCAATCTTCCTGTTTCCATCTTCTAAATGCTGAGATTACAGGTGTGTTCTTTTTCCTTTATAACAGCTCCATACTTAAACTCCATACAAATCAATTATTTACATGGATAACCCTACTTAGGACAGGGTTTCATTCTTTGATTCCTTAAATGCAGTATACAGCAGATGCTCAGTAAATGTTTGCTTAGTCAATAAATGGGATATAAATCACAGTAATAGTAATTGTATCTATATAATTGGAGTAAAAGTAGTATATGTACCATAAACATAACAAACATAAGCCATAATCCCTTATCCTGGATACAAATGTATTTTGAAATTTATATTTAGGTTGTATAAAGCTAGCTTAGTATATATACTATTATGTGAAAAATGGTATGAGATAGCAAGAATATTAATATTTCTGTAAGAAAACATAAATATTCCCAAAAGAGGACAAAATCAAAATTGTATCTTATGCTTGCTGCCATCTTATCAATGTATTAATTATAAGCATATTAAACAATTTAAGCTTAGAAAGTTTTAACTTCATCAGCTACTTACTGATAAAATCACAGAATTTCAAGTTATAAGAAAAATTAAGTGTAAACAGTAAAAAGTAGTCTAATTTGGAAAGCAAATGGAATACAGAAAATGTCTATCCCAGCTCCCTAATAACATACCTATAGTACTGTTATAAATATGATAATTATGCAGAACATAAAATTGAATTTAATTCACATAAAGTGCGTATTACAGTCTCAGTGTATATTTATGTATGATTATTACTATTTATAGCTCAATTATAATTCATCTGGCCATCCCCTAAAGGATTATTCCCACAAATACTTACTGAATGTGTTACACATGCTCTATAACAGATGAATAATGATACAATGAAACAGATGTATTTGCTCCACTCAAGTTGCTTAGGAGTTCAAACCTATAAATTTGTCATATACTAACAGCTATAGCTGTTTTCCAAAAGAACCAGTTTTACTTCTACTTTAGTCATAAATGTATTCAACAATACTTAATTTTTAAACACTTCCTTTAATAGAAATTTATTTTTTCAGTCACCAAACTTTCCAGATGTCAGGCATGTATGTGCAGGAACTACTGTTTCAAATGAACCTTATTTAAAAACTCAAGAACCCACTAAGAAGCAAACTGAGTGACTAAATCCAACCTAAGGTGAAACAAGTTGATACCTTTCCATAGTAATTCCAGCCCTAGAGGCACTAGATAAAATGGCAGTCAGGGCAATCTGTGAGGGTGTGTATAAAAGGTAAGCATCTGTCAAAGCGATTCTACTCAGAAAGTCATCAGCTGTTTTCCTCAAAATCTCTGGATTCTCCAACATAGGGTAGCGAGTCTGGAGAGAAAGGTAGCAAATGTTAGTATTTCTGGGTGCATAACAGAGTAATTACAACTAAAAAATGCTGTAACCAGAAGACACTTAATACAGAATGCTTTTAGAAAAGTAATTCCTTTATTACAAAAAATAATCTTTCAATGTTAGCTTGTTTGGTATGCGTCATTATAATATGGCAAATTACGTAAAATCATTACATTCTGAATGTTATCCGTCTGTTTTCTCTAATATTTTCATTTCAATCAGTGGTTTTCATACTTTTTTGAACACAACCAGAGTAAAAAAATATACTTAAAAATTTAATAGAACAGCTCTAAATCTCCTAGCATAGTGATACTCTGCATTGTTCTCAACTTAGTCCTTTTCCAAGTTGAAAAGAACTCCACTGAGTTTAGAGCAGACTCAAGATTTCTCAAGCTATTCAGGTGATTCAAAGTTAAGGCCACATTTAGGAATTATTGTACATTTTGGGGGAATTTGTTCTAAAGTGCATAGGGGGGTAAATAGAAATGAATATTAAACCTATCAGCCTTCCCAAATACAGAAATATTTTTAGAATATGCACAAAAAATATGGAAGATCATCTGACAATTCCCCATACCCTTTCAGATGAACCTTAAGTCCCAGTCCTTCTGACTGATTTCACGCACTCATATTCGAGACCTGTGGCAATAAGAAAATCTGTATACATTCTGAAACAAAACAACCAGGTCAGCTATGGAGTCACAGAGAGGATTCGTCCGTGTCCCCAAATGCCTGACCCCTGAAAAGTTATTCAGTAACACCACTCTGACCACAAATATCCCTTTTTCATTAAGACATTTGCTTAATTTTCTTCCCTGCTATTCTCATACCTGAGACTATTTGGTCACAAATCCCTCTACTTGCTCCCATTTTCCGGAATCGTCAACCACCTCTCTCACTAGGCTACCAATACATTGTCCCCTTAAATTTCTTTTTTTAAAAAGTATTTTATTTATTTCTATTTTATGTGTATGCATGTGTTGCCTGCATGTAGGTAAGTGCACCCGTGTCGTGCAATGCCCGTGGAGGACAGATGAGGCTGTCAGATCCCCAGGAACTGGAGTTACGGACAGTTGTTAGCTGCCACGTGGGTGTTGGGATTTGAGCCTGGGTCTTCTGCAAGAACAGTCAGTGTTCTTAACTGCTGAGCTGTCTCTCCAGCCCCTGTCCCCTAAATTTCAATAGTATTTAAAGATTATTTTTATTTATGTGTGTCTGTATGCCATGTGTGTAGGTGCTTGTAAAGGCCAGAAGAGGGCATCGGTTGCCCTAGAGCTGGAGTTACAGGCAGATGTGAGCCACCTGACATGGGTGCTGGCAACTGAATGTAGGTCCTCTGGAACTGCTGAGCCATCTTTCCAGCCCCAATTTCACTATTACTTGAACTCAACTTCTATACTGTTATTTTTGGATACTGTCAGAGAAATCAAAACAACCAGCCTGGGATATGACTATGAATTCAAGTTCACTGACCTTACCAAGTTTATCAATTATATTGTTATATAGAAAATTTATTGTCTGATTTTTCAGTGATGCTGGTAAACACTTTCTACTTTTCTCAGCCTTTGGTAACTCTCAGAAATCATCACTCTTCTGAAAATTATCTCTGTACTTAACCAAGAAAGAAAAGCACCATTTCCACCAAATCCTCAGGTAAAACAGCATCATTAGTTTCCTTTGTCTTATCAACATAAGAATTATTATTCTTTGCAAGGCCAATCCTATGTTATTTCAAACTCCATGTTAACCTCCTTCATCTAATTTGAAAAAAGAATCTAGAGTTATGCTATACATATTCCATGTCCCCTTTAATCTTTTTTATATTACTAGCTCCTTGGATCAGTATTTAAGCATATATCAGTCTCTTCCGCAAAACAATACTTCTGTTCATGTCCAGCAGCAGTTCCATCCCGTATTTTCCCGCTTCAAAGAGAACTTTCTAATCCAAGTTATATACCATATAACAATATTCCCATCAGTAGTGGATAACATCTATGATGACAGTCCCACAAGGTTATAATGCAGCTTAAAAAAAAATTCTATTATTTAGTAATGTCACAACCATTGCAAAGTCACAGCACAATGCTGTGATGCTGCATTGAACAGCATCACAGTAATGCTGCTGTGAACAAACCTACTGTTGACTGTCAGTCATATAAAGCCATAGAACGTACAATTTTATACATCACAGAATACAAATAATGGTAGCAACATGTTACTGGTTTATATTCTTATTATACTATATACTTTATCATTATTTTAGGGTGTATTCCTTCTACTTACTAACAAAAATGTTAACTGTAAAACAGTCACAGCCAGGTCCATAGTAGATATTATAGAAAGTATTGTTACTAGATTTTGATAGTTCTGTGCATGTTAACACCTAGGAAGAAACAAGATGTCTCACTGTAAGATAGCAATATAGTCCACTAAGATTTCCCAGTAAGTTTCTCAGAATGTATCCTATTATTAAGCAACACTTAAAAGGAATATGCCTTTCTTCCTCTTTCTACCTTCCCCATCTTTCTGAATGGTATCTCACTATGTAGCTCGGGCTGACCAGAATATAGTTCCGAGCCTCCCTTTCAATTTATTCCCCCAAAGGCATCCATCTCCAAGTTTGATTACACATTCTAGAGACTAATTTCAACAAAAATCACAAATGACCTTTCTGATACTAAACTCAGCAAACATTATTCTTATACTTTTTCTTTGCCTCATCTGAGCAGGAATGGAGTGCTGCTATGTTCACTTTCTAAAAGTATTTCCTTCATGTCTCAAAAAAAAAATCCTACAACTCTGGACAATTTGCAGTCCTTACTAGCTTCTTTTATAGCTCAGCTACTCTTTAAATGTTTGTCATGCCAGTCCACTCTAAATTCTCTTGGGCACTGTCAGTAAAATCTGTACCTCCAATCTCACCATCTCCTCTGAAGTCACCCTTCACCCTAAGTGACTATCCACCTAGCTGTCTTTCAAACAATGTGAACTGTGCCTCAAACTCAACCTGTCTACCTTTCACCCCTCCAATATCTACAAATATTGTGCCAGAGTTCTTTGTATCAGTAAGTATACAGCCATCTACCTGTATGCCCAGCCCAGAGAATCTTCTGGTCCTTACTCTATGTAGCATCTTCAAGTTCTACCGATTTTACCTACTATTACTAAAGCACAGGAAGCTCTTGCTAAACTCATTGCAATGATCTGTCAAACTACCATCTTTTTCCTGAACTACAATAACAGCACTGCTCTCCCTTCATCCACTGTGGTCTGTTCTTCACATTATGCCTGATACATACAGATGTGCAATAATCTGATGCAGACTAATACATGAGGTTGCCAGGACATTTTTTTCCCACATTACAAATCCAATCACAGTGGACGTGGTGGCGCATGCCTTTAATCCCAGCACTCGGGAGGCAGAGGCAGGCAGATGGCAGAGTTCAAGGCCAGCCTGGTCTACATAGCAAGTTCTAGGCCAGCTGGGGCTACAGAGAGACCCTGTCTCAAAAAGACCAAAAGAAAAAATAAATAAAAACAAATCCGATCACACCAGTCCCTAAAAAAGCCTTTCACTGTCTTGCTTTTGCTTTGTTAAAATCTCTAACAATGCTTATATGGTCTCGGCTCTGCCTTCCACTCAGACAGCAGAACTCTTTCCCCTCTATCTCTAGCCTCTGGTTAGTTTCTAACGTAAGCTATGAATCTATTGTACTAGGAAGGTCTCCTGCTGAGATGGTTTTTCATCACCTAAATCCTACTCTTGAATTTTACTTTAAATGATGGACCTTATCCAGGGGCTAGAGAGGGCTCAGCAGTTAAGAACACTGACTGTTCTTGCAGAAGACCTGGTTTCGAATCCCAGCACCCACATGGCAGCTAACAACTGTCCGTAACTCCAGTTCCAGGGGATCTAACAGCCTCTTCTGTCCTCCGCAGGCATTGCACAACAAGGGTGCACTTACCTACATGCAGGCAATACACGCATACACGTAAAATAAAAATAATTTTAAAAAAATGATGCCTTATCAGAAATATCTTCCTTACCTTTTAATCTGCTACTTCCACAGTATTTTTTTTCTATCCCCTCTATAGTATTTAGCACACTATACCCATAATAGTTGTTGAAAACATTAACTTTTAAGAGTCATAAAAATTGTTACCACTCCTGTCTTGTTTCTAGGTTGCAGCCTCATTTTTAGCATGAACAAAATGTATCCAACGTATATAACGTGAGAATAAACCAATTCTTGACTTCTCTGACTTTACTTGGATTATTCAACAATTTATATTGATTGTGTCAACATTTACATATATATCTCAATACCTGCAACATATGAATACACAATCTATATGTAAAAATCTATATGTAAAATGCACAAACACACATATAGACTTATGTGTGCATGCGTTTTGTTTTTATTTACTTTTATTTTATGTGGACGAGTGTTTTGCCTTGAGGTGTGTAAGTGCACCATGTGTATAAAGTACCCATTGGGCCATTGGAGTCTCTGAAACGAGTTACAAATGGTTGTTAGTTGCTGGGAAGCAAACACAAATCCTTTGTAAGAGCAGCCAGTGCTCTTTAACTGCTGAGTCACCTCTCTAGCCCTTGTACATTTATTGTGTGGATGTAGTCTATTTTGCCCTAACTGGTCTCAAAGTCATAGGCTCAAGTGACCCTCTTACCTCAACTTCTAGAGTAGCTAAGACTACATGTATTGGCTTCTTATATTTTTGAAGGTATATATCTGTTACCTGAATTTGCAGAACACTAAAAATAGGAGTCATTTCTCTTTTAGCTTAAAATTAAGAATTTTTCTGTGGTTCCTTAAGTCAAAAGGCCCAGATCCATGACAATACGTATCATTTAGGTAAGTTACCCTAATTCTTTAAAAGCATTGCTAAAAACCCATTAATTCTCCTCCTTTTAGTCTCCGGACCAGGATTTATAGATCACTAAATCAGCAACTCTGGAAGTCTTACCTAACAATGTAAGAAAAAGAGCTCTTCAGGTGGTTCTAAAGCACACTGAAGTTTGAAACTGTTACCTTAGAGATCCAGCTCAAACTCAGATTGCACCCAAGTTGCAGCCATTTTCAGTATTACTGGTTTTAACAAAGGAGTAATTCATTCATGTATTTCGTTATCAGTAAGTTTACCTTAATATCAATGAGGAAGCCTTCAAATGGTCTATAAGGATTGTGGACAATAAGGTGAAAATTAAGTTGCTGTATAAGTAGTAGTTCATATTCCAAAATCTGTTCCAATGCCTTTTCCTGTCCAAGGGGGCTCTCTCGAAGATTTCCAACAAACTGAGGACTAGACACATTGAATTCATCTACTTTACAGGCCAAAAATGCGCAAGTGAGCCTAGAGGAAGAAATAAAGGAGGGCAGAAATATATATACTTTGAGAAATACCTAAATATTTGTAAAAGTACTTAGTAGTCACAGTGACTATGCTGGACACTGCAGGAATTTTTTTTTTTTCTTTTAAGTTCCTCTTCAAACTTTTATCCATTAGGAGACTTTACAGAAACTATAAAATTAGGCTGAATCATCACCTAATGCCAATACAGAATTTAGCCATCCTTGATTCAACAGCAGTTTCAAATATCCAATCAAAAATTTATAAAAAGTGAGGAGTTTGTATCATGAAATGTACAGAGTATACAAATATTAGTATATGACCAAGGAAGGTCATCAGTGTAAGTCTCTGAAGTCATGTGACTAGGGAATTATGTGCTTATGGACAAACATGAAATTGACCTGACCACTACATGAAGTTCAGAGAGGAACTCAAAAAGAAAGCTACTGCAGCCAGAATAAAGGCTTGAGCTTGACTGGTGAGAATGGAAAGAAAAGGCAAAGTAAAGAGAAGCATGACTGACAGCAACTCTCTGATGAGGCCATTACTAGTTTTATCCTTATCTTTAATGATATGGTTAGCAGAAAAAAAGAAAAAGTACACTTTTAACCAAAACAAGCACGAAGCTACAGTATCTGGAATCTTTCCAGATAGAAAGCAGTTACAAGTCATTCCCAGACTGAACAAAGGAAGAATAAAGGTGTCACCAACAGATGATAGTCGTTAGGTAAATAGCTGGATTTGAGAAAAACAATTTGAAACTGGACAAGCTCACGTTCAAATGCCATTTACAATATAGGAGATAATGGTAAATAAGAAGACCTTACATTCTGAATAGAAAAAGAAAACAAATTCAGGTCTAAATTGTCCTTAATTAAGAAGTTAACAAATGTTCATGTACTACAAAGATCTTTAATGAAAACAAACAAGGCAAATTTGTACTCACATTATTATCCGGGGGTGATATTCCATTACTGAATTATTAAGATAAAAACGCTTGAAATACATACAAGCTGTACCCTAAGGTTAAAAATATGTATGTAATCAGAATCTATTTGCATATGTTGCATGTTAAATTTTGACAAAAAAAAAAAAACTTTATTCATGCAAAAATTTCCTTGAAAAGGTTCCCCATATCAACACCAGTATCTGTTATTTTCCTTTAATCAAAATAAATTTTAAGTACTGTGAAAACACCAAAATCTGCCATTTTCTCCTACTCTCTGCATATCTATAGTCCCTCAGCCCACCTGGAATACTTTTCCAGCAGTCACTGGAATTTTAAAATTATGTAGGTATTTGTATTAGAATTCAGAGCAACAACAACAAAAAAATCTAGAACCAGAAAATTTAAAGGATCAAAATACCAATAGTCACAGATTACCTAATCTTTCAAATATATTAACAGTAGCATGATCGAGCAAAGAGTCTTTTCTGTAAGTTGACTCCAGATCTATGATGAACCATGATAGACTGCTGCCAAACTGCAACACCTAACACTATGCTTCCTATCATCCCATTTCAATCCTTGTAACAGATATGTGAAATATTACCATCTCTATAGAAACAGTATCAACACTTAACTGGCTTATTCAAAATCAGACATTCCACAGGAGTTAGGGCTTTTTGCAACTAAGACCTACCTGCATCTTCAGCTACTACACCATTTGACTAAAACTAACACAATAACCACTTATTTATTTGATAATAGGAAAAATATTGCATTTTAAATGTTTAAAAATTTACTCTATTGGGGTTGGAGGGATGGCTCAGTGGTTAAGAGCAGAGGACACAGGTTCGATTCCCAGCACCCACATGGCAGCTACTAACCTTCCTTAACTCCAGTTCCAGGGGAATCTGACCTCCGTGGCACTGCACGACATGGGTGCACTCACATACATGCAGGCAATACACTCATACACATAAAAATAGTAATAACTTAAAAAATTTTTTTTAATTTATCAACTTATAGCTGGGAGTGGTGGCACAATTTATGTAAAACAATAAAGATTCACCAAATATTAATATCCATATTCTATCGGTATTTCACAGAGAAGTTCACTACCACTCCATTTTAGTTCCTTTAACAGACAAGAAAAACGTCAAATTTCAACACAGAAATTCATCAAGTATATCTGATGCTGTTTAGGAATCCTTCATCCGAAAGTCTATAAAGAAAATAAACCATACTTTTATACTTAATACTTTCAATGTATTTCATTTTTTTTTTAAACAAAAATGGAGGTACTTAAACAGTTATTCTCTATTGGGTCATAAATTATTCACTCTGTAGCTTTAAAACCGAAAATAGCCTTTCACATTTGATCTTTACCACCAACCAGCCATGAAATAATAAGGTAAAAATGTTTTAGATGCTCTCAACACTGGCTTTTTTCTTTAGCTTTTTTCCTCATTTATTTCTTCTCACCATTGCCCACCCTAGAAAAAACACAGTACTCAGAGCCATAAAAATTAATCCAGAGGCATTAAAAGCTGGGACATAGCTCAGCAGGCAGTATAGTATGCTTGCTGGCATGCATGCAGCCCTGGGTTTGATCCTCAGTACTTCATTAAAACCAGATGTGTGGTACCTGTAATCCCAGCCATTTGGCAAGTGGAGACAGGAGACCAAAAGCTCAAGGTCATCCTCTGGCATATAGTGAATTCAAGACCATCATGACTAACCTAACATCATCTCAAAGAAAACAAAAAACAAAGCCAAAGAGAAAGCTCTAACTTTTAATCAACAACTAAAAATCTTATGAATGAGTTGCATCTGGGACATAATTCCAAACAGGAATTTAAGAACATGGAAAACAAAACATGATTTTCCTTTATCCAAAAAACAATGAGGATGTCATAAGGTATATAGTGACTATGAAATGATAGCAGAAATGCCCTTATTTAATTCATACCCATGGTTTACTTAAGCTTCTTTTTTATTTTTTCATTTTTATGTGTGAGTGTATTGCCTGCTTGTATGTAAGTGCGCCTGTGTCATGCAATGCCCGCAGAAGTCAGACGAAGGCAATGGATCCCCTGGAACTGGAGTTAAAGGCAGTTGTTAGTGCAATGTGAATGCTGGGAATCGAATCTGGGTCCTCTGCAAGAGCAGTCAGTGTTCTTAACCACTGAGCCATCTCTCCAGCCCCTTTGTTAAGCTTCTTTCAATGGCTAGCTATCCATTAAAATTCATACCTTGACATAGGGAAATAAATGATGGTCTAGGCAGCAACAATATTTCTCAGTCTTGCTTTCATCTGATACAGTTAATAGAAGAATGATGGGGCCTCTTTGCACAAGGTTCAAAAAATAGATAAACCTTCTCCAGCTTCCCCTAGTGCCAGCCAGAAGCAGAGGATTGCTAGGCTAACTAATAGTCATAAGAAGGAAGGAGCCTGAAGAGAGCTACTTTCTGATTTGACCATCCTTGGACAATACTGTGAGGAGAAATAAAACTACCAGATTTTTGCCATTCCCTAGTTTGGGGCCTATTTAGTTGTATAGCTAGGGTTACTCTAACTTAAAGGATAACTCTTAACATGAAAAAAATCTCAGCTGTCTGAAAAAATATATAGCAAAACTAAACAAATATAACTAAGGTGAATCTTTTACAGTAGAGAATTTAATTAGAAATTTGGAAGTGCAAACTGGAGAGATGGCTCTGTGGTTAAGATCACTCACTGGCTGCTCTTGCAGAGGACCTGGGTTTGGTTCCCAGCACCCACAAGGAGACAAACATCGGTAACTCCAGCTCCAGGGGATCCAACACCCTCTTCTGGCCTCCATGGGCACTGCATACATGTGGTACACTCATATATATGCACAAAACACTCATATACATAAAATTAAACAAAATTAGGAAATGTAGAAGAGTCCAGTTTTCATAAGCCAGCTAAAGGGCATTATACTTCCTCACTACCATAACTTACCACAACAGACCGTGGCATTGCTGGTTTAAACACTGAACAGAATTCCAATAACCTTTTTTCATAGTATTTGCAAAGTGTCATTTCTTCATTAGGCTCAAGAAAGACTGGATCATTTGGAAGAACCTTCAGATAAGAGCAGAAATTTCAACATAAATTCAATGTATTAATTGTAAAATGACCCTCTCTGTCTCAATTAAATTTGATTTGTACTGCAACAAGGGGAAATAAAACGATCAGATTTTTGCCATTACCTAGTTTGGGGCCTATTTAGTTGTGTATCTCACATTGTTTTTCTCTGTATGGGCTTGCTAAGCATTATACAAAATAGCCAAGAAATAAACTAAAACTACACCATGACTTCACAATTTCCCCAAACTCCAACTGGGACATTTGCTTCATTAAACAATAATCATGACAAAGCACGGACCAACCAATATGCTCACCAACCAATACGCTCACAAGTTTGATGCCATTATTTTTAAATTGAAAGAACACATTTTTAATGGTTGGAAAACTCCCAAGGGCACCTTTTTCAATGAATCACTATGACACCCAAATTAAAGTAAGTAACAGCAAATGTCTCAGTAATTTGTTACTTAGCTGTTTTGGTCTGTGTTAAAACTAACCCAAATGCAAACATCACTGATACGAAATCAGTATGAGCTACTGTAAAAGTAGCCATAGCTCAGAACCAATAGAAATGGGTGGTCGAAATTGACTGGCTTGTGTCCACTGTCAGTTTCCATCCCTTGTGCAACCTTGTGCCTGCCAGAGGGCTCTTTCTGAAGTCAGATCTGACAAACATCACTTCCTTGTTTCAAGCCTTCCAAAAGTTCCTTACGGGTTCAGCAAGAATTTCAAACTCCTTACTTCCGCTTGCAAGTTCCCAGCCTCCGTTCTGCAGCCACAGCAGCACTGGTAGAGCCTCAGCCACGAACGCACCTGTCTGCCTGCAATGTCCTTTCCCTCCCTCAGCTACAGCTTTTCCTGACATAACAGTTCATGTCTGTACTAATTCCGCCTCCTGCGAAACCCCCCGCCATTTCCGAAGGATGCTATTTGTCCGTCGGCCACATCTATCTCCGGGATGGCGATGCTCGTTTATCCGCAGACCCTGACCAGGTGCTCGCTGCACGCAGGGGCCAGGGAGGCAAAAGCAGGGGCCAGCGCGGCTGGGCGGGCTGGTGCTGAGGGGCGGAGGAGGGGGCCGGCGTCGGGGGAGCTCACCTTCCCGTTCGCCACCGCTTTGCACTTGAATTTGCGGTTGGCGTCGGCCCGCAGGCGCGCCAGCTGCTCCTCGCTGGCGAACGTCCAGTGCCGCTTCTGGCTGCTGTTGTGGTACATGGTGGAGGCGGACGCAGGGCCGGAAGCACCAACGACGGTAAAACAAAACTCACAGTAACCCAGCAACTCGCTGAGCTCCAGCAATTCCGAACGACTACGACCGCGCGAAAGCCGGTCCCCGCGGGTGGCGCGCGCTGACGTCACGGTCACGTGCTGGCGTGCGGCGAGGTGTTTCCGGAGCCCGAGGGCGGGCGTTCGGCCGCGGGCGACGTGGGACAGCGGAGCATGGCAGCGTCTCGGAGCCTTCCTAGAGAACTGGAAGGGAAAGTGGGCGGGGCCTGGTGGGAACGCCCATCGCGGGCGGAAGCTGCTGGAGCGCCGAGGCTTCCCTTGGAGTGCTGAGCTGGAGCTGAGCAGGTTTTAGGCGCTGCGGGGAGCTGACTGGGGAGGGTTCAAGTTCAGAGGGCAGAAACCTGAGAAAGCTCTGAGCGTTTTTCTCCTGATGTGTAGCGGATTTCTTCCCCGTTTCCGGCTCGGAAGCCAAAGCTTATGCTTGTTTTACGTTTTTCTTGGAATTCCCACCTTGATTATTGCCTTCAGCGAATCTTCAAACAACAATCTTTAATCCTTAAGAAATTTACGTTTTCTTTCCAAATTAATTTGATTCCAAAAGCTTTGACTGGTTTTGGAATTTATCTCATTTTAGTGTACTTATTCTCCAGTTTGATTTCCCTTGTTGCAAATAGTTTTTATAAAAATGAACGAGAACAAAAAGATAAAGATGAAAACACCTGTAGAAGTTTGGGTTTGAGAAGTCACAGGTAAAAAGGTGGCAGAATGAACCTGCTTGCAAGGAAAGTAACGTAGAGTCCCAGCAAAGGGAGAACCTTTAGGGGTTTTTTGTTTTTGTTTTTGGTCTTTTTGAGACAGGGTCTCTCTGTAGTTCCAGCTGTCCCGGAACTCACCATGTAGACCAGGCTGGCCTTGAACTCAAAGATCCGCCTGCCTTAGCCTCCCAAGTGCTGGGATTAAAGGCGTGCACCACTACGCCCAGCGAACTTTTCGGTTTTTGTTGGATGTTGTTAAGAGTGGTGTTTGCCAATTATTTAGACTTGTCATATGTATGCCATTTGTAGCTTGTAATTTTGGAAATTCATTTACTCCTTGTGCTAGTAATCTAGACTAGCAAATTGGCCAAAGAGACGAAAATGTCAAGATGCTAAAGGAAGTAGTTAGTCTAATGATTGTGAGCAACTTAAAAGGTAAGAATCAAAGAAAACCTCAAAAGATAAATAGGGAAAAAGCGATCTAGATAAATGTGAGTAGATATATATGTATATGTATTTATATATGTATATATATAAATAACCTTAGACTCATGACACCTTTGCTAATGGATATTTAACAACTTCTTAATTGTATGTAAAGGAAAATAAAAGTGGGCATTTGGAGAAATTGGCAGAGTATGATTTCTACAAAGATAATGGTAAAAATTTCTATGAATAAAGTTACTAATTTAAGAAGGCAAATACAAAAAAATGACATTACTTGTTTAGTTTTTAATAAGCCAGACTGAAAATTAACTAACTGTATTTTTCATGTCTTACAGGACCTGTAGTGTAACTATTGAATAAAATTGCTGCTGATACCATAACATAGTTCTGTATGATTATTATTAAAGCGAACAGGCCACATGCTGAAGTCAATGGCCCTGAATGAGATTTTCCTGCTTAGCCACTTGGGCACTAGTTTGTTTCTTTGCTACGTTTACATCAGAAGACAGTAGGCACTTAAAACTTGATGCCTTTACCTATTTGAATGTCTATTCCCAAATAAAAAGAAGCACTTTTTTCTCAGCTCCTATAAACTTTTATTTTCCTATCATATGGAAAGTTTCAGTTATAGAAACAAATATGCTGCAACAAATATCACTCTTTTTACTATTAGTCTATCCCTCTTGTCCTTCCTTCCTTCCCTTCCCCCTCCCTCCCTTTTCTGCCTCCCTTCCCCTTTCTTTACTCTCTTACTATGTACTAGAAGTCACTATTTAGACTGGTTTCAAAACTGAGATCTTCCTGCCTCAGCCTGCCAAGTTCTTGAAGTACAGAGGTACACAACCACACCCAGCTCACTCACTACTTTTAAGTCACATTTCACTGCTACTAAAAGGAAGTTGTTCAAATAAAACATACTCTCGTCTTCCTAGGAAAGCAACAGATTCCCAACTTGATGACAAAGATACTATTTCATTAGACATTACCTAGAAGTGAAATAAATTATTTTATATGTATGAGTGTTTTGCCTGCATGTATGTGTGTACCTCTGTTGTGCAGTACCTGCAGAGACCAGAAGAGGGCGTTGGATCTCCTGGAACTGGAGTTAAGAACTGTTGTTAGCTGCCATGTGGGTGCTGGGAACTGAACTTTGGTCCTCTGCAAGAGCAGCCAGTGCTCTTAACCACAGAGCCATCTCTCCAGCACACCCCCCAAAGTGAAATCTTAACAGAAAAAAAAAAAAAAACAAATGTCTCTCGCAGCAGTTTTTAAGTTGTGTTATGTATTATCTGTAGAAAAATTCTAAGTATTTTGAATGCCAGTGTTGCCTCTAGTTCAAGGATCACAATCAGGTTTTTCAGAGCATTTGTTCTTTGTTGGCCTCCACAGAAAGACTTTCCAGTTACTAATCCAAAGTTGCCTGGAAGAGCACAGTATTGGAAATTTCTTTTTTGCTTTAGGGACAATCTTCCCACTTTGAAAAAAAAAAAAAAAAGCTTTACCATAGTGAGCCTAATGTGGGAAAAATAAAAGAAACTCAGACTGCATTGTCTTAGCTGAAAAGGAAGAAGGGGGAGCTAGAAGAATAAGAGACCAACTTTGTGCATGAAACTCAGAATACTTTTTTTTGTACGTGTATGTGTATACATGTATGTATGAGTGCTTGCATGTGTGTGCAGGCATATGGAGGTCCAAAGTTGATGTCAGGTGTCTTCCTCTATCACTCTCCACTGTATTGTGATATAATCTTTCACTTGATCCCGAACTCCCCAATTCCAACTAGTCTAGATAGCCACCTTGCCCTGGGAATCCCCTTTCTGTCTTGAGAGTGCTGGGATTACAGGTGGCCAAAGGCTTCCCAGGCTTTTACTTGAGTTCTGGGGATCCTAACTCTGGCCCTCATGCTTATGAGGGAAGCATTTTAACCAGTGAGCCATCTTCCTATTCCCAACTTGGGATAATTTGAAGTCAAATTTGCTAAGTACCTTATTAATTTATTGTCTTTATTTCCCATGTCAGCAAACTCATGTCTACATAGTTTCTGATTTCAGAGACACACGTCAAATGGTTATAAAAGAGAGAACAGCTGAGCTGGGCATGGTGGTGTATTCCTGTAATCTTAGCACCTGAAGGTTGGAAGCACAAGGATCAGGAGTTAAGGGCCAACCTCAGCTGTGTAGTGAGTGAGTTTCAAGCCAGAAAGGTCTACATAACACTTTGTCTCAAAATTTTTAAAAAAGAAAAGAATGAATTACATTTATGTTTATAGAAATAACAGTTTTTAAAGTATGGTATAAAACAGTACCCTTTTAGCTACTGATGAAGATTTTTTTTACATTTTAAATATAACTACACAAATTGTATTATTTTTTTGACAGAATCTCCATAGTCAGCTCACCTGGAGGTCATGATGTAGACCAGGGTGACTGCGAACTCCCAGAGAGCCACCTGCCTCTGCTTCCTCAGGGCTGTGATTAAAGATGCATGCCAACATGCTCCGTGTACAAATTGTATTTTTTTTTTTCGGTCTTTTTAAGACAGGGTCTCCCTGTAGCCTCAGCTGTCCTGGAACTCACTATGTAGACCAGGCTGGCCTTGAACTCACAGAGATCTGCCTGTCTCTGCCTCCCGAGTGCTGGGATTAAAGGCGTGTGCCATGAAGCCCGGCTAACCATTAACCCCTTTGCAATTCTATTTGTCTATTATACAATTAACATTGGTTCTAAAATCCTTTTCTACTTTTAAGTAGACAGAAAACAAGGAGTTGCCTGCAGCAAATAATCTAGTTTCTCCCAAACAGACCAAAACTAAGGGAATAGAAATAAAAAGGAGATGGATCATTTAAAAAATATCTTTGACCTAATGGAGCCTGGTGGTACAACCTGTAATTCCAGCTACTCAGAAGACTGAAGCAGGGGGATGTAAGTTCAGGATCAGCCTGGGCAATTTTGTGAGACCTTGTTTCAAAATAAAAAGTAAAAAAGAGGGCTAGGAATAGAGCACTTGTAGTATAAGTGCACAAGTGGTAGACCACTTGCCTAGCTTGTGAAAGACCCAGGGTTGAATACCCAACACTGAAATAAAATAAATTAATAAATGACAAAAATACCTTTCATCTAGATATGGTTCCTTAAAATTGAAATCTTGTTTTCTTTTGGTTTGTAACTATTTAAAATCAAAATGTAGGGCTAGAGAGATAGCCCAACCATTTAGAGTGAAGAGGGTTTACTGCTCTTGCAGAAGACTGGAGTTCATTCTCAGCACTCACATTGGGCAGCTTACAACCACCTGTAACTCCAGCTCCAGGGGATCTGATGCCCTCTTCTGGCCTCTTACAGCATGGCATTTGTGGGTATTGCACTCACACAAACACACACAGGCACGCATATACATATAATTTTAAAAAAATAAGATATAAAGAAGGCTTGGTAACATTTAAAATAGTAAATTGTATAAATGTCCAATTCATTGCTTACTAAATACCCACTAAAAGACTGATGTGTTAGGGCATAGTAATAGGATCACAAACACTACTATTTTGCAATTCCTGCCCCAGGGTCCCTAAAACATGGTAAAAAATTTTAGAATATATACAAATATAGTCCCTTCTCAATGAAAGTAACCTTGTATTTATCCTAACCAAAACTTTAGACTGTCGCTGTGTCCTTTTGACTAGGCCTTACTTTAAGCTTCCCTTTCTGCAGAATCTTGAGTGAGACTGTATCATTGTAGCCTCCATCTTGAGCAAGAATCCTAGTAAATCAATTTATTGGTGATATCATGCCCTTCATAACTTTCAATTTGCAATATTACGTGGCTTGCCATTAACAGTGATCCTATGAAGTTAGTTTAACAAGAAATTCATTATCTTTGATAGCTCCTCTTTGAAGTTTCTATCCATTGACCCTCAGCTCTGTTCTTTTGTTATATTAATGGATCCCTACTTGTCCTTGGTGGAGTCAATCAGAGTATGATCTCCTCCATCAGTATGCCCCATTTGCAATGATTCCTATATCT